ACTGCCATCTTTGCGAGATAAACATTTTTTCGACATCCGACGTCCTCGGAAAGTTGTTGACATTGGATGAACGAAACACAGTCTGAGATTGTTTTAAAATTCGAAAAAATGTTTGTAGTAATAGAAGAGACTTCTATCTTCAAATTCCACACATTTTTAACGTGAAATAAACATAATACTGAATAGCAGCACTTGAAAAATGCCAAATTCGAATTTGCACAAAGTAGCCCTCGATGCACAAAGTACGACGGTATTTAGAATTTTTCTCCTGAGTAGTAAAGAGTGCAGACGGTAAAAAAGGTACCTGAACGTGAAAAATTCTGAAAAGTAAGGGACTTTTATTGGATCGGATTTCCTTTCATTCTTTCTTGAAAATATTTTTTTTAATGTAATTTTTTACTTTAAATAATTTTTTTGTAGAACTAGTTAATATTTAGATTAGCTAATTGAGGTAAAGGATGGGGATTTTTGAGAGGGTGCATATATATATATTTTTTAATCTACTCGGATCTTTTTTAGCGGAAAATTTTTTACTGGGACCGTTTTTTCCGAACCTTTCTTACCTTCATTCGGCAAGAGGAGGGAAGCCTAATGCGTTTAACGAAATGTATAATGAACGGACATGGTTTTGAACTTTCTCTGTTCTCCCCAGCAACAAAACAGGTTTTTACGATTTTAGTGCTGTCTCCTTCAGTAGATTTTGTTGGCATTTCCATTTTTCCTCAAACAAATATTAATTTTCTACTAACAGTGTGTATATTTTAATTTTTTTTTATAAGGATTCTAAAAGTAATTATAAAGGAGCGATCATTATAGAATAACTTGTATGTTAATGGACATGTATTAAAATTAAAAAAAATTGAAGCAAAAATGTTTGAACGATGAAGTTTAATAATTTCTAACAATAATTAAAAAACAAAAGCTTGGCAAAACATTTAATTTCATATATCTATTTAGGCATCAAAAAATGAAAGTCGAAAGAATAAATAATTGAACATTAAATAGATCAGTTAAAATGTGCATTGTACAAATTACCAACCCACAGTTTATATTTTTTAATTAAATTTTAAATCATGAACTAGGTCTCTTTTTTTTAAAAAAATAAAGAAAATCGTTAATACTTTAGTTTTTGAAAAAATAATTGTAAAATCATGAATTATATGTTAAAAGTCTGGAAAATATTTCTTAACAACTCAAGTCACATTTTATTTCATGATTTTAAAAATTTGAAACAAAGCACAACTTTTCAGAAAAAAACATGCTGCTTAACGTTGATTCTAATATGCTTTTCTTTCACAAGGTGATAAAAAAATTAGATATTTCTTGCAGTAAAATTTTAACACACATAAAATTAGTTCAGAATTTTAAATGCATGACATTAGGACTAACTTTTTTTTTAAGTCTCATAGGTCAAAGAATAAGCCAATTAATATTTGCTCCATTAGCTAATTTTTGAATACTGAAAAAAGTTTCAAATTGTGATTAGTTATTCACATACTAAGAAGCAATCTGAATCGTTCAAAAGTCAAACAGAAATGATCCATGGTAATACAAGAATTAGGTTGTAAGCATTTTTGGAAAGAAACTTTAAAATGATTTCTTTTCCGTAAGATTAGTCTTAACTTCGTTGACTTTTCAAAATTCGTTATAGATAAAGGAAAATAGCATTTTAATATGTAGTCAGGTGGTAAAAATTTCCCCAAAATATCATTGTTTTAAAAATATCATAATTGAAATCAAAGGAAATATTATTAATGTAAATAAAATTTATTAATTACAATGATTTATTTTTAATAATAATAATTAAACTAAAGTAAAAATTTTGTTGTTTCGAATGCCACTTGCCAAATAACGGCAAGCCTGCTTGGTGAAAAAACACGAATTTAAGGCTGAGAGAAGGTTTCTTGTTTTCAGTGGCGCCATCAATGGTCAAGAATACGTCATAGCTCATTTTAAAAGGCAGAGCTATTCATACATCCACAGATCATAATTTTGACCTGAATCAGAAAACGATCAATATTCAATTCAGTACCTCCAGAGGTATAATTTATTATGGGAACTTAGAAGACTTTGTTATCCAACAGATTTAACACGAACCATTCACTACACGAGAAGTCTTTGGTGGGCTGGGATCGAACTAACAACCTCTTGGACATGGGCCCCAATGTCCTATCAACCAGGCTATCTTGGCCTCTGTAAAAATGCATTACTGTAAATAAAGAAGATCACCTTTTTAGCTATATTTCTATATCAAAGAGAATGAAAGGAGTTTTAAAGTGAAAATCTACAAAACTCATTTTTTATGCAGGAAAACTACTAGCTTTAATCTTAAACTAAGTTTTGGCTTAGTTAAAGTTAAGCTTGGTTGTTGTTAAGCTGGCAAGGAAATTATTTTACATGCTTGCCTAAAAAGTAGATCAGTTAAATTAAAAGGTTATGAAGAAAATATGTAATTTAGAATAGCAAAATACGAGTGCGGTTTTAAAATTTTTTATTAGAACGAAATGACATATATTACTTATGAAATATCACATTATTGATGAATTTTAGTATCATCATATCACAATATAAAAGAATGTTAGTAACATCATATCACAATATAAAAGAATGTTAGTAATATCATATCATAATACAAATGAATCTTAGAATAAATATAAATATAATAAAACAAAAGTAATGAAATGAAATGACACTAAATAGGGCGCATTTTAACACCAACAAAAATGTAGATAACATTAAATGTTTAATTATACAATTGAATTTAGGATAAAAATCTCAGTAAAATGCAAACCTGAATGACACATAAGAAATTTACGAAATAGAGTACTACATAATTATTTTAGTTAAATTTAACAATGCATGGAACACTTGGAAGAACATCTAAATTATGCCGATTACCAAAATGATATATTAAAAAATAAATAAATAAAAACTGTACTAAAAAATTTCATGAATAAATGACACTTAAAAACAAAAATGTATATGTCCATACCAGTTTTTACACATAGTAAAAGCAATTCAGCTTCATCAGTTATGGTGAAAAAATAAAGGAAATATAAAATGCTTTTCTCAATAGCATATCTTAAAGAAATTAGACGCATGTTCGCTTCAACAAATATAAAGAATGATTTAGAACATCATTTTGAACAAAAGTTTTATTGTGTAAAATGTGTATAAGTTAATAGTTTTCAAAATTATAACTGGAGTGGAAACTTGCATCGACTTAAATTTTAATTCTGATTTATGGACAAATTTTCTTTAATATTTAATCACAGAATTTTTAAATGAAGTTTACTTAAAAACAATTGCAAAGTAAATTTTTGAGTTTTAACAATGTTAAAAATCACTTATAGATTTACACAATAAGCTATGTAAAGAAAAGTAGCCTCTGGAAATCCTTTTTTTTTGTATATGAAAATTACATTAACTTTTATGAAGTAAAACAAAGCAAAATATAGTAGAAACTAATGAAAATGTATAACTGTATACACAAATACACTTTTAAAAATTTGAAGCCAGAAGTTAATACAACTTATTAATGATTAAACATTTTACCAAGCAGCAACAACTTACATTGCTTCTTCTAGTTTTCTATATGAAAAGAAACTCCAAAACTTCAGAAATTTATTGCTTTCACATAGCATATGCGCAATACCAGTACTTAACAGATACATAAAGAACATACAAAAATAGTTAAATGTATTATTTATTTTTAAATGAATACATATCCTCCAACTATTATAGAATATCTTTTAATTTCTAAAAATGTTTTTCCTGGAGGTAGTCAAGGTAATGTCTCAATATTTTAATAAACTAAATTTAAAAGAATTTTGTCAACCACCATGTATAAAATAATATAAACAGATATATTAAAGGTCCGGCAGACTAATTGTTCTGTGTTTAAAATCTAATACAACTTTCACTAAATTTTCATTTGTTCCATTTCCATTTGTTGCAAAAACATCAAATGTTAGTGGGCATGTGTATATGTCATTATAAAATAAAATTGGTGGTTATATATATAAAAATTATTTTGATCATTTAACAACTGAATTGCCTAAATGCTTTATTATCTATTGCAATTTCTTTTAGATATTGAATATTCAGAAATTTAAAAATGGTGGAAAAGTATAAAAAAATATCTTTTTGCAGATACATTCATGTATAAGCTGCTTCATAATAACAGCAATTTATGTTATTAATATTAAGTTAGAATATTATATTAGTTATTAATATTAGTTATGTTATTAATATTTTGAGAAAATCACAGTTATTTAAAAAAATCTAGACACACTACTATAAATATGTATTCTTAGGTTAAAGTAAGAAGTAAAGAATTATACATACATAGATGTAAAGAATTGCACATACATATAAGTAATGAATTATACATACATAGAACATAGAAAGTTTAACTAATATTGCACAAAACAAGCATACATTACATTTTTTTATTATATCTTGCTACATAAACACAAATGTTGATAGACAGATGAGTGAAAAATAACATATAAACTTTTAGCTCTTTCCCTTTTTTAATATCACTATAAACCTAAAAGCATTGATATAAATATGACTATCCTATAGAAGGATTTCAAAACTGCTGGTATTAAAACTAGAAAGAAGTTATAAGTTTCCTCTCCTCATTTCGGAATTTTGCAGGAGAGAAAATGAGACCATTACTAATAGCTTCAAGCATTATGCTTAAAATTGCTCCAAGAGTTTTTCCATGCAAAATTTTCCTAAGCATTTGCTGCTAAAAGATTGTTTACATAAAATTATTAAAGAAGTGCTTGAATTATTTTTCACTCATCTGTATGTATACAGTGATAATTCTCTGTAAAAATATTGAGGAAATCAAGAAAAAGTATTGTTCTAGACAGTTAAGGAACAAGCACTTGTCCAACGTTTTTGCACAGATTATATGTAATACACATGAGCATAACAAATATGTCATTGTGTTTTATAACAACTTAAATACTTATTATTCAAATTACTTAAGAACTGGAAAGTAAATATTTTGGTCAGAATTTCACCAAGCTGTTATGCATACAAACAATGCATAAAAAAGATGCAAGCAGTTTTTAATAACAAAACTAGTCAATCAGTTGATAATTGAAATCAGTCAGTTAATAATAGCTAAGCATTTCGAATTCTTTTAAAGCTTTACTTCAAATATTTTTGTTTCATGCTTTGTCATCACACATCTAAAGTTATAACCTGTCAAAACAAACTTCTGTAAATTTGGTCCATCGAGAAAAGAACTTAGTTCTCATTTTAGTCCCTTTCAGAACTATGGGGTGTTATTTTTAAGTACAATACTTGTTTTTGCAGGATGAAGTTTGTAATCATACGAAGTTCATGACATCGTTTGTACTTTAAAAATTGTGACTTAGAGAAAAATACCATAAAAAGAGGAGGAAGATTAAAAAAAGAAAGGTGGGTGAGGATTACAGAAAAACCTAATAATAATATTCCTAGAGATTTTGATTTAGGCAAACCTTGGGTATATTAGTCAGCAAGAGGAGGCGACACCAGTTAACAAAAGCTGCTTAAGTCAAGAGCCATGGCATCGCTCAAAGGGCTAAAATAAGTCATCTATCAAGGACTTAGTCTCAAATTAAAAATTTGACATATTACTACTTTTTAGTTATAACGTTTCACTTATTTAAGTTTTTTAATATCAATATTTGAATTTTGTATAATTTTGCAGTGGATATTGTAATACAATGCTATTATTGTTTTAATGGTAGATTTTGATTTGTATTCATTCAATATATCTTGAGCAATAAAATTTCTTGTATGTATAACAAGGAAAAATATCTCACTTGAGAATATTCCTTGCAGAGTTTTGATATTACCAGCATTGACTGTAATGTACAACAAAATATTATTTTTAAGCATACTATAGGGCAATCCATATTAATTCTGAATCTAAATATTCACCGGTGTGTGACTCAGGGGAGAAGATAAAAGTCATGAATCAAAAGTAGGAAGAGTGATAATGGCACGTCACTTTGATACGGTTTTCACTGTTCACAATTGTAGTGTTGCTACAACACTCCTTCCTTTTCACGAGTATCAGTTAGCCTATTTCTGCCCAAACTGCCTGACTGTTAGAGATAGCCTCTCTGTGAATAAAATAAGCAAGTCTGCCAATTTTTGGGTAAGGAGAGGGAACCTGAGAAGAGAGGGCTAAGACCTGGAGAGAGCTGTGTTGAATCTGATTAGAAAAAGAAGATGTTTTGATATAAATTCTGAAGCAAAGTATACATCAACCCTGAAACTATTGCTGCAACAGGACAGAAAAATTTATATATAGATCCAAATAATAACCTAAAAACTTAAAAAGGTTTCTCAGTTCCTTAAGATTTCAAGCCAAGTCAAGCACACATGCAAGATAAGTGACTTTAAATTCAATCGACTCTAGAAGTGCAATTCTTTTTCTTTAAGTGTTCACTCTAAATCTGTTTGTCACATGTTGATTTAGTTTTGTGTAATTTGTTATTACCTTATTTTATTATGCTACATGGTCAAATTTATTTTAATGAGTAAATCTTGATAATTAAGTTAATCACCATTAAAATTGCTTCAGTAATTTTTTACCCTTGTGATCATTATTTCTACACATATATTTTTATCTCACTTTATTTGTACTCGTTGGTGATGATTTGGGATACGCCATAGTTGTTAAATGCATTAGTACTAAATTTGTAAATTATCCCACTATACTTTACCCAAAAATTGGCAGACTTGAACTGCTTATTTTATTCACAGAGAGGCTATCTCAAACAGTCAGACAGTTTGGGCAGAAATAGGCTGACTGATACTCATAAAAAGGAAAGAGTTGTAGCAACACTACACAATTTTTTGATGGAATTACAGATCTTAGTTTTTTTTCTGATAATTTCAAGCATAGAATTATGCAATGTTTCATGAGATGAATGAATCAGAGAGTTTTTAACAAGAATATAAGACTGTCATCTGCCTTTTTTTTTTGTACTCACAAAGGAATATCTTTATAATCGCTAAAGTTACGATTTTGAAAGTGATATTTCTTGATTATCAGGAAAAGTGATGACATTGTTTGAAAAAAAGTTTACGCATATGAAGTCATTGTTAATCACTTCCTGATCCTGACAATGTTAAATTTTAGGTAGTGTAAAGCAAACAGTTGCTTTGTTTGAGGACAGCAAAATGATTTTGCAACAAATTTTTTTTTTTTTTAAAATTCCAGTAGAATTCATATATGCAAATTTCATTTGCATAGATAGCAAATTACAACATGGTGCAATCATACACAATGTTTAATCACTTTCATAAAGAAAAAAAAAAACAATAGTCAAAAGGGCATTACAAAGATATATTAGATAAATATTAAGTTTTTATTGACTGGCGTTAGAAATAAAAAGTAAGTACTAACTTAACTCTATTTTACATCCATGCTGTTTTATGTGTGTGGGATAGAAATTAAAATAGTTATTAAAGCAGAAAATATGAAAATGTTTAATAAAAGTCTCATATTTAAAGTTTGTGAAAGCTCATAAAATTTTTACAGATTGCAATGCAAAATCGATGTTATCTTTCCCTTTACATGAGTTTTATTGTATAATTTAATAAAAATGAATGCACATACTATCAAATCAATAAGAATCCATATTTGTCTAGTTCTGGAGTACAGTCTGCAATCAGTGTCATTTGTAGATACCTGTTTGAAGTTGTTTTTAAATCTGTATTGCTATTTTTTTTAAATCTACTATATGATTTGGATACTATATGATAGTGAGTTCATAACGAGGAACTCACTGCAATGGGGCTTCAAGTACTCAGAACAATACTGACAAAGGCAGCAGGTCAAATATATAAATACACAAGTAGTGAATTGGTGAGGATAAATGAACTGGTGAACAAAGTCAAATCATTATGTAATAAAATGAAAAACCTATTAATTTAAAAATTTCATAAAGGCTAGTAGTAGCTAAAGGCTCTTAGTAGTTTTTGAAAATAGATATAAGGCTCAATAAAAAAACTGTCTGTTTCAAATAAATAATTCTTAAAAATTTCAGAAACACTTTTAATGTTACAAGTTCAATGCCAAATAAAGGTATCTAAACTATGTTCAAGTTTATAAGCAAGTATTCAGATAAACAAAATAAAAAAAATGACAAAAAGTGAAGCAATTTAAAAAATAATTTCTGTCAGATCAACAAATGCAAAAAACTATTTTTTGGCCTGCCATATAAAGTATGTTTTTGAGCATAAAATAAATTTATTCAAGCTCTTAATCAAAATATTATTCACAATATAATGACAGTTACATTTAAACAAGAAAGACAAATTAATTTTTTAAATACTGTAAGTATGGCAGGAATAATGGATGGCACTTCAATTCACTCGCTGAAGGTCTAAGATCAGGATCATATGATAAAAGTCTCCTAATAATCTCACACTGAAATATAAAAAGAGAAATCAATAAAAATATTTGGACAGTGCACAAAATAAGAAAAGTTACACATTTAATAACTTTCATACAAATTCATAGCGAAATCCAGACGTGCCAACCTGGGAAAATGAAAGAAGAGGAGGCTTTCGAAAGGAAGAGAGAAATGATCATGCAACAGTAAAACATGCAAAATAAGACACAAAAGTTTATTAAAAAAAGACTTGTCAATAAGTCTTAAAGGAGACTTTATTTAGTACATAAAGAATAATTAAAGTAATTGTACATATTGTTAAAATTATATATCAAAATTAAACAGCTGTCAATATTAATATCTATAATACTGAATAGCAACAACAGTAAGTTAATTTATTTAGCTAATTCATAAATCGATTCAAGCTAGTGATCTTTTATTTAAAAATAAATAAATGGGCTGAACTATCTGTTATTTTTAAAATATATAATAAATAAAAGTTTAGGTAACAAAATCAGTACCTTTCTTTAAATAAAAAATTAGAAATTTCATTTTTAATAAAAAATATTTCAGATTGATGATCAAAATTTTAAAGAAATTAAAACGTGCAGAAGGCACAATTCAATTCTTGTACATACGAAAAACGTCATACGAAAGACATACGAAAAACGTCATAACTCAGGCCACGCCCTGCTCTGACACATTGAGACTGAAAGTGTTGAAAACTGCATTCAGTGTTAAAATAAGTGAAAAAACCAGAGATTTTCGAAAAAAAACAACGGAGGAGAAAAAAACTTGTGAAAAACCAGTCTCCGATCAAAAGCCGGAGGGTTGGCACATCTGGAAATCGAATTTAAACTACTTAATTAGAGCAGCAATTAGATATTTCCCTAGATGTCATGTCCATAATGACTAAAATAAAAATTTAAATTGTAAGATATAAAAACTCTAATATAGCGTTTAACAATGTAATTTGAAATAACAAAATCTAAATTTTGAATAAAACCAACTAAATTATTCCTGAGAAATAAAAATTACATTCCTGTCAACCTCAGCGATTCATGAAAGTCAAAAACGCTTGTGAGCACAGATAATAAAAATAATAATACAGATTAAAATTCTATCCACGGGCCGGATAAAACCTACCAGCGGGCCATAGTTTGCCCATTCCTGTTCTAGAGCATCGAGAAATAAACTTATGTGCAAACTAATTTCGAATTTTTTTTTTTATGCCATCAAAATTTGGGCTCTATTGATGACACATTTGCAGAGTATCAAATTTGGTATTAATTATGGTAAATAGCAATCATATTTTGAATTTTAAAACCTACCCAAAATAAAATCGTGTCTATATTTCTGGTAGTTTGTAATAGAAGAATGTAGACAGGTCAATCCAACACATAATATTGATACCAGCAAAAGTATGCACAGAATAAAAGTAATCTACAATGCACTCAGGTGTAAGACAATTGTGTCAGTATGGATGGAATGTGTTTAAAAAAAGTTGAAATATTTAACGCAAATACTTCAAATAAGATACTAATTTTATAAAACTTTTACTGGATTTGTAAGCTAAATTACAAATTTTGAAAAAATATATATCTTTAATTATTTAACATAGTGTTATTTATTGGTTGTTTTGAAATTATCTGGTGCTGATGTTTTTTGTTTTGTTTTTGTAGGGCAAGGATTTACCTCTTTAGGATACTTTTGGATGAACTGGGGATCAAACATATGTCTTCTGGCACTTGCAAATTTCTAGAAGAAATATTTTGTGTTAAAATAAAAATATATGATCAAGACAAAGCAAAATAATATTTTATGTTTAGCAACAAATACAATTTTGATAGTTAATTAGTTAAATTAAAAGAAGCTAATGTTTTTTGAAATGGAAATCAAAATAAAAGTTGTGTTTGTAGCACATATAACAATCTTTTTAAAGCTATCAATGGAATTCACAGTGGTTAAACCTATGTTTCTTAAAGTATGATTCAAAATATTGCTCAAGGATCTTAATATTTATCTAGAATTATAATTGAATTTAACAGGTAAAATTACAAATTATTGTAAAATGACATTTATAATAAATTAGTGCTAACTCCTAGACAACTATTAGCAGCTCGGCAATGTAAATTTCAGTTTAAAAAGATCAAATAAAACTCTTTTACATTCTTAAGTATTGTGTCATGATTTATTTAAAACTTGTACTACTTTGTGCAGTCTATTGAAGATATATCATCAATTACCAGAATTATGATCAATAAAAAAGATGTAATTCTAAAGAATATGGATGAGTTTAATATTCACCTCTGAAAACATAATTGGAAATATTAAAATGATTTAAAAATATTTTGAAATTGAGGTGCATAGTAGTAGAATATAAACTTTTACCTCAAGTATTGAAATTAAATATGAAGAAAGTAAATATAGGTTTGATGAGAAAAACTGTTGTGAAAAATACCCATCATAGACCTAAATATGTAGAAAACTACATTTACTTCAGTGGTACAATTCTTACATCATATCTTGAGGAGTTAAGCTTTAGAGTTGTTAATCATATTATTAGGGAAAGAAAAAGACAGAGCCTTTCGTCCCCCCTTTTTTTTCACAAAATTTTTTCAGGTTTTCATAATTTAAATTTGCAAACCTTGGGGATATTATTAAACATTGTTTCTATGAATGCAAATATAAATAAAACAATATCACAGTAAGTTTTTTTAATGACTTATTCTGCCAAACTCAGTAAAAATACATCGATAAGAGTTTGTTATACACACATGCTTTGAATAACTGTAACTCTTCTTTATAAATTTTACAAAGTATAGTTACCTCCCTAATTCATAAATTCCCAACCACTGTGGAACAGGCGCTTAATTAGAAAATTTTACTTCTTAAAGACACAGAAGTGGAAGAATAGGTATAAAGAAATTGGCTGACTTTGGAGTAAATTTATAGATAAAAAAAAAGGTAGAATGAAAATCTGGCATTAATTCCAAAAATCAGACACAAGAACATGTAATTAAAAAAAAATTCTTAATTAGATATTTATGATTTCTTATGTTACACATTCCTTTGAGAATCAACAATGCAGGAAACAATCAACAACACACTGTTTTGAAATAGGTGTGATAATTTTTTAACTTTGACTATAGAATTTTTGAAGTTACTGGTACATATTTTCTAATAGTTTTCAAAAATCTAAATGATTTAATAGAACTTTAGCATGCTGCGAATTTTAAATTACGCATTTGAATTGACCCACTTGATTAACGACGATTCTACAGTGAATCTGTTTGGTTTTATGTCAGTCGTCGTTTTGTCAGTTATTAATATGGATTTTAACACGGCGTTTAAAATAGCAATGTTTTAATATATATTTCATTTGGTAAACTTTGATTTGCACTTTTGACGAATTATTTTTTTGCACACTCGATTATTGATGATTCACCCACAAACTCATCAATGACATTTTCGTCGGTTATTGCTTAAGATTTTTATGGCTTTTAAAATCTTAATTTTCTATAAGGCTACATTCTTTTGTATGGTAAATTTCTAATCTGGCATTTGAAGAATTGCCTCTTTTATGCACTCTCTTATCAATGATTCACCTGAAAACCTGTGTGGCATTATTGATCACATTTTTGTAGTTATTAGCGACACGAATTTTCCCATGTTTTTTAAAACCTTGACATTTTAATGTTACAATGTTTTGTTCGAGAAATTTCCAATCACGAATTTGAAGAAGCACACACTTGATGCATTAGATTTGTGATTGCAATTTTACCGACAAGAGAATGATGGATAAAGATATCACATGAATTTTTTTCTCATTGTGCACTTTTTTTAAGCACTGAATTTTTTCTCTCTTTTTACATAGAAGATAAATAAAAGACTCATTTTTATGCATAACAGTAACATTTATAAAATTGAAGAGAAAGAATTTTTTATTTAATAATTTTTTTCCTCATGAACACATAAAAGAATATACACATTGAAAAAAATTACATATTTCTCTTTTTTTTCTCACTTTGCGAATCTTCATCACATTAAAAAAATTTAAAATCCTTGAAATTCACAGCATTAACAAAAAAAAAAAANAAAAAAAAAAAAAAAAAAAAAAAAAAAAAAAAAGATTGTCGATAAGACCACATGCATTTATGATGAAATCACACAAATTGGATTTGTAAAAAAGTTCATTAAATATTTTGAGATTCACGTGTTGTAATAAATGTCTTAAAATTGAGATTTTTAAAAAAATATGTGAAAATCAGTAATGGCAACTGCCCAAAAATTGACTGAAAAAAAAAAGGATAGAATTATCGTGTCAAATAGTGTATACTCAGGTGAGCAAACTTCAATTCAGTGATATCTTAATTGTTTGATAATATAATAGCAGAAATCAGAAAAAAATCACAGAAAAACTCGAAGAATAAATACTTGAACAGTTTCAGTTTTAATTTGATATCTGATTTTACCCTAAGTTGCATGTAATTCAGAAGAAACTAAAAGGCTTTATCACTTTAAGAGCATTTACAACTAATGATAAAATAGAATTATAGTTTTTCACAGCTGAAGCTTACCTCACGTTTTTCAAAACCAGTTTTCATTGGCAGCAAAAGTTCAAAAAAAATTAGTCCTAACGAATACATATCCGTCTTGGCGTCGTAAATTTTCTTTGAGCACTTGAAAAAAATATATATATTAGAAGAGCAAACAGTTTGGCACAAATCAGAAAAATAGTTATAGAACATTTTTTGTCAGAAAACATTTAAAAAAATATAGATATAAGGATAGTCTATTTTAAAGAAAAAAAAAAGTTTCAATAATTATGGATATATTATCCCACACCCACAATAAACTTTAAGATATTCAACATAATAATATATAAAATAATTTATCTAACTCAGCATTTAAAAATTCAATAAATTATTAAAGCTTTACAATATTTAATTTTACAAGTACACTCAATGTTAGGCAAGAATATTTTACTAATTTTTTAACATTATCGCTTGTTTTTCTGACCTTAATAAGTAGATTCCACAACAGAAATTTATAATAAATTTTCTTAGTGATGTTTAATCACCATTAGAAATTCTTTTCCTTTCCCCAAATTTCTACATTGATATTACAGTGCCTAACACTTAAGAAAATCATATTTGTTCTGAGGATGTGTGATGTTATAAAGATGATTTTATAAACTGGCATAACTTTAAAAAAGAGGTTTCATATGTAAGCTTTACAAGTATATTTGAAGCTAAATTAAGATATTTATATTTTATTTTAACTGTAATATATTATAATTTATTACAAAATATGAATAAATTTTTGTAAAATCGAAATAAAACACAAAAAATCATAACTACTTGAAATTCAAAATTCGATTAAACACAGCTACAATCTTCAACTTAAAGAAGGGTTTTAAAATATTGAAGGATCCTTGTTTGATTAGCAGAATTTTAAACTAAGGATTAAACATTGTTTGAAAGTTTCTAAATGCTCTTGTAACTTTCATTGTTCAATTCATAAATATACTTTAAGTTTAACAGTGGTATTTAAATCTTGTCATTTGAGCATGTTGCTACTTAATAAATTTAATTAAACATGCATTCTCATTCTTCATTCATAGCTGAATAATAAAAGAACATGAACACAAAGTGGTTTAAAATTATATTCTAATAGTCTGCAAAACAGTCTTTAAAATGTGGATCATACATATATGTTAATAAAATCTTTCTGGAATTTGATTAAAGTCAATAAAGCTTAGAAGAAAATAATCAGAAATTTTTGGGTTAAGGGATATATTATTTTTTTAAATGATAAGCAGTTAAAGATGCATGCATAAGTTATTAATGCCTGATTAATTGAATTATTGTTACAAATAATTCACTAAATATTTTTTTACACAAGTTTCCATACATTTTATCATGAAGATTAAGGAAGTATATTACACCTGTTCAGGACTCAAATATGTTGGCGTGCCAATACCGTGTGTATGAGAAAGTGTAACATCCATAGATGATAATTCAAATCCTTCATGTTGAGCTTCAGTTTGCGTAGCTAATCCAAAATCTCCGATTTTAATTAATCCCTCTTTGGAAAAGTATATATTTGATGGCTAAAAATATGTTATTTAGTTTTTAATTGAGGATAACAAGATATTCAATAGCAAATAAATATTTATTAAACTATATTCCAGCAGAGTCTTGAAAATAGTTAAACATTCATAATTACGTATCAAAATTAAATCAGATATTTATTGTTCATGCAACATCACATGCAGATGCTGCTGCATGAACAATTGTTCTGAATAAAATAGAATCAATAACAATCTGGCTAGACACATACATTGTTGTTAGACAAACATCAATCGATTGTTAAAAGGATTTTAATTGCAGCTATAGCATAAAGGTATTAATTGTAAAACTTTTTTCAGACTTATAAATTGAAAATTTATTATGAAATATTAATAAACCAGATTGTTCTGCTTAGATTGGATACTTGTATAATATCAATAATGAATCAAACTGCACTTTAAAAGATATTTAAAGGCGACTTTTTTATAGGTTAATTTTATTAATATATTTTGATTATGACAATTGAAGAAAAACCAAAAATATAAGCTATAAAATCATATATGCATATATATGTTGTAGGTAAATTAGAAAATCCAGCTCTTTGCAAACAATTGCCATTATATTGCAGTGCACAAGAATAATTGAGAACACATCTGATATTTTCATATCAGCAAAATACTTTGTAGTGTTATGCTGATAGAAAATACATAATTACAATGAGCTGAAATAGTTTAAACCTAATCAGAAAAGTATCATTAATAGCTCAATTAGCATTTAGATTTATAGCAAATGGCCCAATTTATTTCAAGCCATTTGCATGAGTCTAAATACTGATTAGAAAATAATATATTATAAGATGATGCAAAGAAATTGAGCCATTTTTTCAACCCATTTAAAATATGTGTAGATCAAAATTAGGGGCAGAAACTGAAAGCCACAATGAGTCCTTTAATAATATTAACTTAATAATAAATTAATTATGAAGAAAACACAAAAACTTAAGAGCTTGTTACATTAATAAAATAATTACTTTTAGAATTGTACTGTTCTCGAAAAGGAAGAGTTTTTAACTTGCTTTATTCACTTTTTAATTTGATTATTATTTGACTTTTGCAACAGATTTTAAGTAAATAAACTAAATAGCTCAGTCTACAGAAGTGCCTTTAGACACTTGTTATATCTGGATAACTTTGTTTAACCTTTCAACTGCTGAGCTCATGGGTAAAAATGTACTGGGATTTCCTTGCTACTGACTTCACCATTGAATAACATGAGGAAAACTAGTTTCATCAGGTAGGAAAGTCTATAGATGAAAGTTCGGAAAATAGTCGGAACTAATATTCACGGGGTAAAAATACTCAAAATTTTATTTCAAAAAATATAGATTTCGAAAATAATTTAACAGGTGCTTAACATTTGCAAACAAGCTTTTTAAAATTCAAAGAATGAAGATCAAATAGTTATATTTTTTAAATAATTTCCATTGATATTGATATTTAAATAAAAAGTTAACTTAACATTATTCATATGGTTAATTGGCTAACATAAAGAAGTAACAAATTTATAATAACTGTTTTTACAGTTTCATAAATGTACATAAATGACTATCTCATCATTATAATATATTTTTCTAAAGCATGACATATTTTTATTTCTGTAAGGTAGATGGAAAATTATATACACGACATTTAAAAATGTTCAAATTATGATGCATTAACTTTTGAGCATAAATGAATGAATGGATGGATGAGTGCCTGGAAAAGAAGCTAATGATAAAAAATGAAATTTTTGAAAGAACAGGAATAAATTTAGAACATTAAAAAAAATTATGTTTTTATTTGAGCAATTAGAGATACATAAATCCCTCATTCCTCTTTATAACTTAAGTGACAAAAAAGTTATAGAATGCTGCTAGGTAACCAACCTTACATTAAAAAATTCACGCTTTTTACAAGTCAGTGACATTTAAAAATGTTTAAAAACACTTTTGGAACACATGCCTTTTTCTGTTGAAATATAGGGGGGAAAAGGCATATTTTACAAAATTTAAGAATGTGAGAAAATCTATGTAAATCAAATTTAAGATGAAATAATAAATAGTTACTTTTAAATCCCGATGCATAAGACCACAAGAATGCACATAATCCATTGCATCAATAATTTGAGCAAATATTTTCATTATTTCATCATAATCTCTAGAATTTGAGTGTGAATGAAGCCAACTTTCAAAGCTCTCTCTTTGGCATAGTTGCATCTATGATAAGAAATATATATAGCATTAGTATCAAATTTTAAGTTCATTCAAAATTTTATTTTCCATATTAGTTATACTTTAATGCCTATTTTGCTCAACAATCCAATTAAAACCTTAAAAACATACAAATTGAACTCAAATAAGATAGATGTCTGTTATTTAATGGGCATTATAAGAGTTGTAATTATAATTACATCACAAGAAAACAGGACGATTGTTCAGACATCTACTTTTTAAATTTGTTAAAGCAAAAATAAAAAGGCTAACAAGATGTTGGCTTAATGTCAGTATTCAAATGAATAGAAATAGGTGGTGTGGCTAGCAGAATATCTAGCCTTAAAACTTTGATTTTGTTTTAAAGAGTCTTGTGGTTAGAACCAAGCTTGGCTTAAAAATTATTTTCTTGAGGAGACAGGTTAAAATACAATTCTTTGGACCAAAGTCAAAGTCCTAGTCAAAGAATAGGTTTAAACATGCAACATCCTGGTAAATTCCTCCATCAATTTATGACTGATAAATAAAGTTTTTCAATCTATGACAAAATAAAAAAAAATGGTATTAAAATATCTCCGATTACAGTTCCGAAAAAAAAAAAACAAAAAAACAAAGACACCATCCAAAGCTATCCTAACATATGATTAAAATCTTACAATATGGGTATAAGATTTACCTGAGATGGCTTTTGAAAGTGATTATTAAAACATGAAAAAATCTACATCACTTAGAGATAAATGTGTCATTATTTTTCCATCTTTTTCTCAAAGATTGAACACACTCTCCAGTCAATATATATGTCAGAAGCAATCAAAATAAAACTAAAGTTTTTTCTTTTCGTCATTAGGTCCTACAAATACTGTTCATAGGATTCTATGAGGCTACACTCTTGTGTTGTTTTTCTACTTTACAGAGACAATTTTTTTTTTTTTAAGATTATATGATAGGTAGTATCTTATTGCGTAAATATAAAGACATAGCAAAATATTTCTAAAATACAGTTGGTAATGTAAACTAACAGGTTCAAAATTAAAAAAAAAAAAAAATACTTATTTTAAAGAAAAGTATAAAAGCTAATTAAAATGTTTAATAATGAAAAGATACAATCTCATCATTAGTTCACATGATCAGATTCCCAAAAATAGTGCTTTCTAATATTGAACTAATAAAGCCAAAGCAAAATATAACAATACAATAATATTGATTATATACTATTGTATATACAAAATAAAGTATTGTATTGATATATTTTGCTTTGGCTACATTAAAACAATATTAGAAAGCACTATTTTTTATAGATATAATAGTGTGAGCTGATTACAAGATTCTATCTTTTTGTCATTAAATTTTCTAATTTTGAAATCTTTAATATCTTTTTTACTACTTTTAAAATTCCTTTTTACTTTCCTTGCGTATTTATCTTAATTATGGGTTCTATGCACATTTAATAAAATTAATAAATCTTAAATTCTTAATTTTTCCATTAAATTTTTTTTGTACTTTATTGTCTCTTTTATACATACATATAAATAGTGCTGCTTTTTTTTTTTTTTTTTGCTCATAAAACACAAACCTTGCTTCTGAAACATGTGCAAGCAATTAAACTGGCCTATCTAACTCATATTAGGTGTTTTATCAAAACTGATAAGAAAATTTTGAGTCATAAAAATAATTGTCATATATACTTGAAGTTTTATACTATCAAGTATATCTTCCTGCTTCAACTTGGAATTTTTTATTTAAAGTTATAGGATGTTGCTTTACCAACTGTGCACAAACTAGTATTAATGGACAATTTTGAAGCTTACATAAAATTAAGATTATTGCAATAAAAAGATATTAAAATATTACCTGAATGTATAAATATCCTGGTTTATTAATCTTTTCGAGCATTGAAGGCTTGATAGTACTTTTAAGTGGTTTCGGGTAAAACATAAATTCTTTTTGAGAGCAATCAAGTGACAAAATTCTGTCAGCATTAGAAGGATAACCACCACTTGTCATTGGTTTTAATAATTCATTATCCAAAACGATGTCTAACTGATGCAAAATATTACACAAATTCCTAATAACAACATCGAAATGACTTTCACTATGCAGTTCCAACCATGCAAAAACTGAAAGAATCCAGATTTGAAACAGTTGAAGATTTTTAACATATATATCACAGTCATTTTGCAGGAAAACAAATTTCCACTTAGGTATATGCATTGTCTGATCTTCACAAAATATAAAAGTACTTAATTGAAGAAGACATTTCTTTTTCATTGGCCAACACAAAGTCATATTTAAATCTTTAATCTGAGAAAAAACAGCAGTTTGCACAATTGAGCTATAAGGTCTCATTCCAGAAAAACGAGTTTGATCAGAACTGATTGAATAAGGGCTATTATCAAGGAATAAATTTACATCCCACAAAATGTTACACAAGTTGTTCTTCAGCAAATTGTGATAATACGTATTAAAAGGTCTAAGTATACAGAGAAGAGATATAACCCAACAACGGAATTTTAAGAGTGTGTCTAATATTAACTCTTTACCCTCATAATTAAATATTTCAGTATAACTCAACCAACTCAGGTTCTCACTTTCAGCTCTTGAGATATCAGAAAACAAACATTTTCGTAGCTGTGCCAAATCATCTTCACTTAGTTTATAAAATAAACAATTATTTACTAGCTGAACAAAGAAAAACACATTATTTTCATTATATAATTGCATAGAGCAAGGAACTAAGACTGGTTCAACAGAGTTCTTTTCCAGATCTTCATAGTTTTCAGATAAATTAATTTTGGAGATTTGTAGGTGTTCTTGTAATGCATACAAAGATTTAATTTTAGAGTTTTCTATGCTTGATTCATCTGATTTTTCAATAGTATCATTAGTGAATGTTATATCAAGAGAACTTGTGGTGCTTTCTTCATGTAATGATTCAACATTACTTGATGAAGACTGAGAACTTTCAACATTACTCAATTCACTATTAAAAAATGAATCTGAAGATCCAGTAGAGAAAGGTTTCCTATCTGGCTCTTCATCCCAATCGAAAAAATCATTTCCCAATGGATTGAATTGAAGTTTGTGAGCAATTTTGACATTGCGGTCTACACTTTCCTCTGACATATATTCCTCAAATTTCTTGGGTGAAGTGATTTTAACTTTCTTTTTTCTTGATTTTAACGAAATATGCGATTGTTCAACTGATGAACGCTGAACAGACTGGGTAACATCACTAAAAAATATAAAAAAATATCCAAACATTAAAAATAGAAAAAAAAAAGTTAATGGTCTAAAACTTTTCAAGAAGTATAATTTAAGTTATATCTAACTAAACTAAAAGAATTTCAGGCATGCTGAAAACCGGTATCCAGCATTTTATCCAGCTTTATATCCAGAATTTTTTTAAAAATGGTATTATCTTAAATGTCACATCTCCAGTTCAGTTAATTTTTGTTGATTCTGTGAAAAGGGCGAGACTTCATATATTAAAAGTTTAAATTAATTTAAATTGTTCACCATTTATATACAAATGATTTCTTTGCTTTAATATGAATTTTTAAAAATTTACACTGTGCACTAACTTTATTGTAAGATGTTTGAATTTTGAGGAAAAAAAAACAATAGGCCATTATTTTTATTCAATTATGCTTTTATTAGATTTTATTTTCAAATATTTTGCTCTCTGGCACTTTTGAAAATGAGTATTTCCTTATACAGTTTTATCTAATACGATTAAGAAACTGGTTCATTAAAGACGAAAAAATGCATTTCAAAGTTAAAATTCTGTATGTAATGCCCCCAAAGGTGTAATGTTATTATGATATAAAAAAGATTAGAAAGTGAAAATTGCAATTACACTTTAGGATTATTTTATAGCACCCTTGTTATTAAGTTTGATTTTTTTTCACTAATTAAGATGCTTATGTATTATTCACAGTAATTTTGTTCTCTAAATGTGCAAGAGTTAACAATCTTTCATTTCGTGTACTGTCGTTAATGATTTCATTTACACTTACATATTCTTTGCGTGCTCTAGAGCACTTAAAAGTTAAATAAATTGATCAGTATGAATTAATGATTTGGCCACATAACATATCAATTTAAATAACCAGAATTAAATGCAGTTCATATCTTGAATTAAAATCAGCCCACATTGAGATTGGATTGTTTTACTTTTTTGAGCATAAGAAATAATTACAATTTATAATTATAAATTAAAAGTTTTTTTTCTATCAAAGATCATTATTAAAGTGATAGTAAAAATCTTTCGTCCATTTGAGAGCAATTTAAAAAAAGAATCTGAAAATCAAGAGGTCAGAATAGTTCATGAGATTTAAAAATTTTATACTAAAGTAGTGAAAACTTTAAGTAACATCAATAAATATTTCATGCAAGATTATTTCAGTATTAATCCTTATTCATTTTGATATTATTACATAATATCTGGGGCTAATCCAGGATTTTTACTTTAATATTTACTTTTGTGAAAAATTTCAGCATTTGATTTTTGTAAAAAAGTTTAGCTTATCATAATTTTCTATGAGAAAATATGTTCAAAAGTAAAAACATTAACTTTGAAAGGATTATATTCCTTAATAATAAAAAAAAGCATTAAGATATTTACTGTTTACAATTAATACCAATACATAAGGTTTAGACAAAATAATAGAAACACTTCAATATAAACATATTTTTTGCTATTTCTCAAAAAATACTTAAAGAATTAGTTCATAAATTTAGAAGTGTTGAGATTGTGTGATTTCTCATACATATCAATAAACTTTTGCCCGAGGGACCGACAATAAATTATAATTGGAAAAGTGTTTTTGAACACCAAGTGTTTCGTGTACTTATGAAAAGAATTTAGTAATAAATTTGTAACTTATAACTATTATTTTAGTTATTATATGCAATAATTGCACAAACATCCATAAACCTAGCTTAAATATTTATGGAGATACATGGACATTAAAAAACAAACAAAAAAACGAATATTTTTGTCTCACATTTTTTGCTATAACTTTGAAAGTATTCAATAAAATTAAACAAAACTTTTGGAATAATTTAAAATTAATTACAAAGTTATTGCTTTAAAAGTTGAGAAACATTCGTTAAAATCTGTGCAAGTTATGAGTAATTGAAGTAGTTCTCTCATACTGCACATGTGCAGAAAAAATTACTAATTTTTTTTCTTAATTTTGTAGTGAATCTAATTCGGCAACTGATAAACAAGTCTGATTCAAATATCTTAAAAAGTTTCAAGCAATTTTTTAAGTAGTTTTGTAACAATTTTAAAGAAAACTCAAAATGTAAGGGTTTTCTACAAATTTAATTTTTTACTATTAAACAAGATTTATTAACAAATGATACCCTTCTAATGATGATCCAGACAACAAAGTGTGATGGTATTAGGAAGTAAAGAGGAAGAGAAGGAAGGAAGAAAAGATACTTTTATAGGGCTGATCCCCAACAATGCAGGCGTCATTTTTAATAAATCCACAAAATGAAATTTGAGGACAACCTCTTATAATTTTGAGCTTTCTTTTGAAAAGTGAAAAAAATATTTAGAAAATGGCTAGAAACTTTTTAAAATTCGAAGATATCCAAATCGGACATTTTTCATTATTTGGCAAGTACAACAAATTTAAGAAAAAAATTGTTTAAATTTTTTCTGTGCATGCACAGTAAAAAAGAACTATTTTTATTACTCATATCTTGTGTAGTTTTAATGAATTTTTCTTACATTTTAAAGCAATAATTTTGTAAGCAATTCTAAATGGATCCTAAAGTTTCGTTTGATTTTATTGAATATTTTCATAGTTATAGCAACATAAGACAAAAAAAATATTGAAATAAAAATGTCCATAAATATTTAAGCTAGGTTTATGAAATTTAGTATATAGTAACCAAAATATTAGCTAAAAGTTACAAATTTATTACTCAGGGTTCATACAGAGATCAGAAGGAATCCAAGGAGTATCCATGGAGCCCAAAATTTAAAAACTTTGCATAAAAGATAGCTAGACATTTAAAAAAAAAAAAAAAAAGAAAGCAGTTACTATAAAGAACTTGCAAAAATGTATATTTTGCATAAGATATTTTTTTCTAGCCCTTTTGAAATAAATTTTGACTTTGTCAAACTTCATCAAGAAAAATAAATAAAGTGCCAAACTACTGCGGGAATTTTTGAGAAGGTACTGTCTTTGTTAGGTAAATTTTTGTGAAAGCACTAATAAATAGTGGAAAAACTGACCTGTATTAAGCCCCGAATATAGTCAAAACTATGATTGAAGTATATTTGCCATTCAAACATTTTATCAACAAAAAAAAAAAATAATATATTAATGAAAATATTTTTTAAGATAAAAGTTGTTGGTAATGAATTTTTCTATAAAAAAGAAAATTCATTTTAGCAGGTTTAATGTTAATGTGCTATTTACTTAAACAAAACATAAAAGTTAACTAAACTACGTACGCAATATTTAACACTTGATCTCTTTCATCTTGCCAGCCTTCTGGTGGATTCTCGACCCAAGAATTGAAATAACGAACTATATGGGGATGATCAAGTTTTGCTAAGGCTTTAACTTCTCGTAGCACTCCATCATAGCGTCGTCTAAAAATATAAAAGCAATAATGCATTTTTTGTCAAATTTTATAATAAATAAAAAAGGATATAAAAATATATGCAAAAAAGAAAAAAAAAAGAAACAAAATTTTTGGTTTGAAAAGAAATTTTTGTTTTTGAATAAAATGTACACCCAGATCAATGAAATAAAAATTTTAAAATTTCTAGAACTGAACACTTCTTGTTAAAATTAATAACTGAACAGTAATTGATTAATTTCAAAGGAGTTACTATTCAGAAATATGAATATTGAAAGCTTTGTTGAAATCTTAAACCAATCCATGAAGTTCTCACCCCCAGCGTTTTGAATGAACCACACCAATTTCAACCACATCTTTACCAGAATAGATGGGTTTTGGAGAAAATGTCCAGATAAAGGTATTTAGCAATTCGTTACTGTTTTAGGGCTCGCCAGAACATATCTTTTCAGTAAATTGTCCTTTGACAGGTCTTTGAATACACCATCCAAAATAATGGAAAAGACACTTTCAATTTGTGACATTTCTTAAAATTTATCAAGAAATATTTAGAGAATTATTTTATAACTTAAGAATTGTTTAGGTCTTGAGGTTCCTTCATAGTTATCAATAAATCTAAAACTTCCAGAGGAACAGCAACAAATTGAAAACAAAAACATATTTTTTAACATCCAATGGCAGAAAATACAGAAAAAGCTTGTAATTTGTATCAATTACTTTGATTCTTATTTGCAAAAATTGTACAAAATTTCATAAACTTAGTTTCAGTACTTAAGGAGTATGGACATTTTTACAAAAAATTAATTTCTTTTGTCTCACGCTTTTCTTGCTATAACTTTAAACATATTCGATAAAATTAAACAAAATATTTGGAGAAATTTTGAATTATAAAAACTAATTTATTATTTTAAAATTTGAAAGAAATTCGTTAAAAATTACAACAGATACGAGTGTTTAAAGTAGTTCTTTTATATTGTGCATGTGCAGAAAAAATCATAACTTTGTAGTTAATCATATTTAAAAACTAATAAAAAAAAAAAGGCTGATTAGATTATCTTGAAAATATAAAAAATTTCTAGCAATTTTGAGTTTTTAGTAGTTTCTGTATATTTTAGAAGATAGCTCTGATTGATTAGGGATTTGTGCAGACATTATTTCGCACCATTATACAAGTTTTATTAAAAATGATCATCTATCATAAAAGTATGTTTTCTTTCTTTTTAACATCACATTTAGATTTAAGTGCACAAACGATTGTTATGAGGAGTTATCATTTGTTATTAAATTTTGTATTATAATACAAAATTAAATTTGTGGAAAACCCCTTATCATATAAAAAATAAGAAAACTACTGCTAGAAACTTTTTAAATTTTCAAGATTCTTTTTTTTTATTAGTTACCAAACATGATTCACAACATTATAAAAAAATATTTTAATTTTTTTTCTGAGCATGTGCAGTATGAAAGAAACTACTGCAAATACTCATATCTTAGGAAATTTTCTATACATTTCTTTTTTCAAATTTTAAAATAATTTTTTAATTAACAATTACTCCAAAAAAGCTACTTTTATTAACTATCTTAAAAAGTATAGTAAAAAAAAGACTAAAAGATTAGTTTTTCATAAAACTCTCCATAAATATTTAAACTAGGTATACAAAATCTTATGCAGTTATTGCAAATACCAACCAAAGTAATCAATACAAGTTATAAGCTTATTGCTATTGCATAGGGTGCTAAAAAAAATACTTATTTTCATTCATAATTTATTAACAATCAATCAAACCTCTGAAATCTTTTAAACGTTAATAATAAGTATGAGAAATTGTATAAAGGATACACCTCTAAAATTACAGAATAATCCTCTAAGTATTTCTTGAGAAATTTCCAAAAACTGATAGTGTCTTCTACATTCTTGTTGGGCAGCAAGTAGGCCTACTAACCTCTTGCACTGTTTGTGAGCCCTCAATGACTAGGATAATTGCATTTTCAAAACTAAATCAAATAGTTGTTATGCAAAATGATTTCGCCCTTATATACTCCATGGTATAAAGCATTGAAATATGCGATAGAAGAATAAATCAATTTTTTAAAAAAATTTCTAGACTAGCAAACCACCTTAAATAGAAAAAAACATAAAATCTACAGCTAAAGCCAAACATTTCAGCACTCATCTATCATTATAGACCTTGATTTCTAACAAAAAATTAAAAGGATCCAGATCGGCTAATTGTTTTTCTCCAATTCTAAAATTTGTCACTATTACAGCTTTCAGGGAAAAAAAACATTACCTTACAATTTATTAGTACTAAATAATAATAATAATAATAAAAAAAAGAAAAAAATGTGGATAATGCACAAATAAAAGTACAGAAATGGACATACTACAGTTTTAGTTCTATAAACAAAAACCTTCTTCAGTGTCTAAACACCAAATGATCTTGAAGAAGAAAAGAGAAATAAAAAACAGGAGTGAGGGGATGGGACTGATAAAATTAGAACTCCTGGGTACAACAGATTAAATTAGAATAAAAAAATTTCTCTATCTTCACAAGATGTTAAGACACTGAGGAAGGTTGGCGTTTAAAGAACCTTAACTATAGCATGCCCATTTCTATACTTTTATTTGTGCTTTAGTCTCCATAGCGCAAATTATATCCTATCCTTTTTGGATTTTGAATTTATTAGTAATTTAAAAAATGAAATATATTATACTTAATTTTAAGAGCTTTAAAAAATGTACAAGTTTTCCTTGTTCTTCCCTTATCCATTGAAAACACTGTTAATGCATGTTTAAACTTTTTAGATGAACAATAGAAATTTAGATGAATACATTTTACACCTATAAGATCGTGACTTCTATATAAGATAAATATATTTTTACAGTTAAATAATACATCATATTTTCAAACCATAGAACTTACTCTTTTCTTCCATCTACAATAATACGAATTCTTTTTACAGCATAATCACAGTCATCAATTTTATTTTTTGCTTCCATAACAACTCCAAATCCGCCTTTTCCTAAGATTGTAATAAAATGAAATTCCTTCTGAAACCTAAAAGAAAATAATCTTATAACATAGTCACCCTGTTTTAAGAATTAACACTCACAGTTATATGTTAAAGTTAATACGCTTAATGCAACATTCCCTAATTTAGAATATTATTAATAGAAGTAAACTTATTAGTATTAAGATACTAAAACCTTGCTCAAATATATTAAGGTAAAATTCAGAAATAGTTGCATTGAAGGTAAGAACTTAAAAAGAATAATAATCTCTAGTTCAAAAATCATAAAAAATATATGTGCCAGGAATGCCTACTAATTGCAATGAGTCAAGAAGTTTTTATTCACAGCAATATTACTTTTTGTGGCAATATTGAAATTCAAAATAAAACATTCATTTGTTATTTTACAAGATACAAAATTTTTTCCAGTAGAACTGAAATCGAATACTAAGTATTTAAAAGATATTCTACAAATGACAGAATACTAAAAAAAAAGTTTCACATAAAAATTTTTAATAATTAATTCTAATTCACATAAGGTTCTAATAACACAAATTTTTTTTAAATGTTGAAAATAAAACCATCCTTATTGATAAAATTAGAATAAGGGGTTGTCTATAAATTGCATGAGATTCAGTAAAATGAAATGTCATTAAAAACGTTTTAAAGCTAACATAAAGAGCTATTCAAATATTTAAAAAAATTTTACAAACAGAATAAAAATCTGTAAAAATGATGGAAAATCTCTAATTGTTGGTATCCTTGCTGTTCTAATTGAGGCAAGACAGCAATCAGCAAAAAATTATTAAATTAACTTTAAGAACTGACACAGGTAAACATGCAAAATCTGATAATTAACTATACCATGGATGGCAAATATGTAGCATACGTGCCAGAGTGAAGTTGAAGTTTACACAATAGCACACAAGATAAACTGAAAAATTTAAAAAAAAAAAAAAAATGCCATCTTTAACAGGCCACTGCATAAGAAATCAGCACCTCTAGACACCAGCAGAATGCAGCTAGACAGCCTCGGCTCGGTCATGGGATGTGCCCAATGGTTTCAGTTAAAAAATTTTAATGAATATTATGAAATCAACATAGATCGTTCAAAAGTAAGTGATGTCCATTTAAAACATCCGATTTTGTAGGAATTTTCTAGAATTAATCTTAATATAAATGATTTGGGAAAAAAAATGGAAATTATGAAGCTAAACTAAGTTGTGACTATTCAATGATTATTTAAAATCAATTTTTCAAGTTATTCATTTTTATTTTTTAACAGAATTAAACTGACTAAACGTTTAAAAGTGTATATTAACAATAAAACCTAAGTAGTTAGCAGTATTCTTTTACTTATTATATAATTTTTTTAAATTTCACTAAAAAAAAAAAAAATTTTTTTTGTCTAAAAATTCTATTTTTTGAATATAAATAGCATTTCTCCCTTTTTATGTTCCAGCATATTAAAAGTGGCACACATAATTATTTTGTTTGAGAAAGTGGTACACTTTACCCAAAGATTGGCCACTTTTGGATCCCACTGCAGAATTTGATATTTCTTAAGTAAGTGAATTAAAGTTTATTAGTTTTTACTACTTTAACTGATAAAAAATTAAGTATATTGAAGCTCAAAATTTCAAGGAGAACAAATAAAAAGTTGATGCATAACAAAAAAAAAAAAAAAAAAAACAAGAAGCACCATGTGTCTAATTTGGAATCCATATTATACAAACTAATACCTAAAGTTGGCTCTCAATAACAGTAAAGTTCCAAGAACAAGAAAGTTATGAATTTATTCATATGAGTTCAGTTCATCATAGTTTTATTCATATGATTATTGTCTGAGCTAAAATTTTAAAAAAAGGAAGCAGTTGAAAATTAATAAAAAAAAACAAAATACCTTGAAACAAACTCCTCTTCTGCTTGAACTTTAGTAAATGATGTATCAACTGTAGAGGTACTTGTAGTGGCGACTCTCTAAAATTAAGAAGCATATCATGCTTTTGAATAAGAAATAAAATGTATTAAAAAGTAAGTAACTGTTTTGAAAGCATTTATTTGAATCAGTAATTTAAAATGTTATGTTTTAACCTTTCATCCACCAAACTGCATAAACAAAATAGTTCTACAGTAAAAAACATTTCTTCATAGAGTAACAGAAAGAAAATAGGTCCAATACCAACCAGAAACACTAAAATTATAGGATTCAGTAGTCCCCCTCTCCCACTTTTTGGCCATTATTTCCAAAAACTGTAACATACTTTCACTCAAGTTTAAGGCAGCCTTAAGAGTACATTGTTAATAAATAAAAACTATCATTAGCATTCAATTCAAGGTAAACAACGATTTATTATGCATAACTTCTTAAATAACAAAACAAAAATTATTAACTGTGCATAAAAATACACATTCTTGACATATTACATTAGCATTTGGAAATCACAAAAAAAAATCATGTAACGACATTTATGCATAGTTGTACTATTGAAGACTTGCCATTGTCCTGAAAAAAAATTAAGCAAAAAGGAATAAATGTAGAAAATGGATAACTTATTTAAAGTAAGCTATAATGTTTTAAAATAATATTTAGCATAATATCATGCAAAATCAAAAACCATATTTTCTTGGTTTTGAAATTTTGCACAAGAGATATGCTGATGTTGAGTGAGTAAGAGGAAAGATTCTTGAAAGCGGCCTGAACTTTCCTTGAACATTGTCTGCGCCTTAGGGCATATTCTGCACAATTGAGTTACACTCATGGGATAAAAATTAGTGGTAATGTTTATTAAAGGAAAATAATTTTGGAACATAAGTTAAAGTCCAAGGATATAGTTAAATTTAAAAGAAAATGCATTTAAGTAGATAAAACTAGTTTATTTTACATAAAAATAGGCGTACACGAAAATTAAAAGTAACATGAACAATGTGATAAACACTCCAGGTAACAAGGCTGCCATTCTGTTTAAAAATTATGCAATTTTTCAGAAAAAAAAAATCAATCCTGCTTTTTTTTTATTTTTTTTTTAACGAGAGTTTTATTAAAAACTTTCGCAACAATCCTTTTTTAAAATTATAATATAAACTTAAGTCATTATATTTATAAATAATAATGCAGCAAAATTTAACATTTTGATCTTAATCTGCACTCTTTTATTCCTTAGGTTTAAAATTATACCCCTTCAGCAATATTTAGTAAAATTTAATAAAACAGAAAAAGAAATACATTACAGTGGCAATGGGAAAAGTTCTTTGTTGATATGCTAAATGCTAGAATTTTATGGTCTATTGAAAAGTAAACATGTTAATAAAAATCATTTTGGTAAAACAAATCTCTTATCACCCTTCTTTTTTCTTTAGTTTAACAAAGGTTTAAAAATGAATTTGGTAATAATGCATATATTGTTTAAATAGAAAAATAAAAAAATTTGATAATTATATCTAATTTAAAAATCATTACAGAATTTTCACTTCTTAAATTTCTTTCACGTAGGATATAACAATTACAACTATTAGAATATGAAAAGTTCTAAGAAAGAAGATCTGAAGCTCACACCAAAGTTTGATTCTGATAATCAGTGCTTTGGTTTTAAAGATAAGAAATACTTGGCTTTAGTCCCAAGATAGCTGTCTTTTAATTTTATTCATGTTTTTATTATTTTCCACATTGTTACAGCATGAAGATAACTCACTTTTTAATGGATAGAGTAATGCTGTTTAAATATTGAGAGATCTTCATTTGCAGGAAAAAAAGAAAGAATTAGGACCACACTGAAGCAAAATTGCTAATTTGTTAATTGTATTAAATTAAAAAAAGACAAAACTCTAGCAAATTAGTTAAATTGAAACTAAAATAAAAACTAATTACACTGCATTTATAACATAAAAAATAACAGTCACCAATTTCTAAAAAAAATTATTACAATGAATTATAAAAAAATATACATATTTTGTAAGTTTTAATATTAAAAATAAGTCATTGAAAATATGAGAAAAAGGAAAAAAGGCTTACTTTATAATGAATACACCAGAAGAGAAAAGCTAATGTCACGACAATCACAACGACCATCAGCAAAAGTAATTTAAGCCTGAAGATATACATAAAATCAGAAATAATAAAATTATTACGCTACACTCATTAAATCAAAATTAACAAAGCATATAATTAATACAATACATATGATGTATATATAAATATGCATGATACATATTTATATATACATCATACAGGCATGCAAACAATAGTAATGAAGTGACTTTTGTCAGCCACCAAATAATAATAATCAGTTACCTAATCTAGGATATTTAGCTTAATATTTATATTAGTAACAATTAGATTTTTATGTAAAAATTATCCTCCTGAGTACTTTTCAAGAATAACAAACATGATACATTTAAAACAATCTTGAGATGAGCTACTTCATATGCTGAACCATGATCAAATGAAAAATTTATAACTAATATATAAACCACATATATATTTCAGTACTATATATATATATAGTAATGAAATATCTATGATTTGTATATTTGAAATCAAATACAAATACATAAAAAATCATGAACAATAAAACTTCAACCAAGTTTTAATACAGTAGAGAACCAATTAACCGGGATGCTCGGGACCATCGCTACCCCGGATGTCTGAATTTCCCGGTTTTCTGGATTGGCCAAAAGTGCCGTAAATTGATGTTTTATCAAACCCAAATTACAAGGAAAAAGTTAAACACATTTTAAAATAAGAAAAAAAAAGGAAAAAATCTCCTAATAAAAAAAGAAAACGGCAGAAAAATAACATTTAAAAGGATAAAAACATTTGAAAGTTTAGACAAGAAAAACAAGTTTAAAAAATACAAAATTAGCCTATTTATTTTTTGATTATAATTAAAATCTACAAATTAACTAATATAAAACAAAACCAATAGTTAAAAAATGCAATATATTTCATATCTAATTATATGGTGGGGAAACTATAAAAAGAAAACTTATTAATCTAAATTAAAAACACTTGAAAACTATCAAACGGAAACAATATTTAAAAAAGGCAGTAACATAAATATTAAAACCTGGAACAAGGCAGGATATTATAAGATCAACGGAATTAAAAAAGAAACAACAATTTAATGATATATATATATGAAAGAAAAAAAAACTCAAACACAGTGGAATCAGAAAAACAAAATCAAAATTAAAAGAAGAAAACTGCTATCTGCTTCATAAAATAATTGTCCGCTTTTATTAGCAAATAATTATATGCGTAAATTAATAAACAATCTTCTCCTTTTATTTCATAAAAAGACTATTTTTAACAGAAGCAGATGCGATTTCATATCAAGAAAAAATTGCTTATGATACCGCATTTCTAAAAAAAAATCATCATTTATTAAAAAAATATATTTTTCGCTAATCGATGTCAAATAGATGAATATAACTAGTGATTAAAAAACATTTTGTTCATAATAAATAATGCATTATCCGAAATAATAAAACAATTCATAATAATAAATCAAGGATAACAAAAACTGAGTAACTAAAGTGGATTTAAAATAAATAAACTTGTCAATACTCTAAGTCAGAAGTTTCAAGTTCCTTAACTGGGACATTCATTGATATGCTTGTGCAATGCATTTTCCCCACCCCTCATAAATCAAAGAGAAGACGAAATAATCATGCCACTCCCTTAAGTTTGATTGACGGCAGCTTATCAGAAAAACAACTGACACACAGGAGAAAATAAAACATTTGTCCGTTCCCTGCCCCATCTGGATCTAATGATCTTCAAGGTTAGGGAGAGAATTGAAGTTTTTCTGGGCAAACAAGAAGAATTCCCCCCTTTCCCTCTACTCAACTTCAAGGATGAGTCAAATTTCCACTTTTTTTTTTTTTAAATAATCATTATACTTCAAAATAGCAGGAAAACGAAGCAAAATTCTTCCGGGTTTTCTCGATACCGAATAAATGGTTCTCTACTGTATTAGATTAAAAATAATATCTCTTGTAAAATTTTTTAATTTTTTACTAATAACTTGGTTTAAGATAAAATCATCCATGAAAAACAAATTTCAGTTGATAGGATGTAAAAGCTACGCATTTTAACATAATACATTAACACTAGGCAATTTAAGGTAATTCAACAGTTTTTTATTAAGTTTCCTTAAATAAAAACTTTCATTTAATTTATAAAGGGTACTTCAACTTAATTAATAAAGGGTACACTAAAAGGACAGTGGCATAGATTCCACCTCTTTGTTCTGAATTGTTGTGGTAAACACATTTAATAAAATAGAGCCTTAAAATAGGGTGTTCCATAAAGATTGCTCTTAATATATAGTTTTGGAATACTTATGAAAATAAGATGAAAAAATTATGCACATGAGAGGATGCAAATACAAACAGACTGGGCTTACAGAGTAACAAACTTCAAAAATATGTTATCCAAAATTAAACAGCATTAACAAAATTAACCAGCAAAACTATAAAAAAAACTATTTTATGGAATTAATTTATTAAATAAAATATAAACTAAATTTTTCTTAAAAAATATATTCAGTTATTATAATATACAGGGCGTTTATAAAGTCCCGAACCCATTTTGATGTTTAATAACTCATAAAATAATAAATATAGATTGAAATTAATAACATAAATGGTTAGATAGACTCAAAAAGTTTCATGACCCTTGTCAATGAACTTCCACGTGTGCCCCCTTCGAGGATGGCGTTTGCAACAGATATGGTCGGAAGGATAGAAGATGCTGCTGATTTTTTGAAGAGCATAATTTTCTGCGACGACGCATTCTTTCACGTTTCTGGCATTGTTAATCGCCATAATGTGCACATATGGGGATCTGAAAACCCCCATGAATAGCGTGAGACACAAAGGGATTCCCCAAAGGTTAATGTGTGGTGTGGACTAATGCACGAACGAGTCATTGGGCCTTTCTTTTTTTTAATGAAAAGACGGTTTCATCAGTCGTATACTTAGACATGTTGGAAAACTTCGTATTTCCACAAATAGAAGAGCTTCAGCCACATGTCATTTTGCAACAAGATGGTGCACCACCTCATTGGGGTATTATCGTTCGTAGTTCTTTGAATGACCATTTCCCAGGAAGATGGATTGGACGAGAAGGTTCAATTCCTTGGCCACCCAGATCACCTGATATAATGCCGCTGGACTTTTTTCCTTGGGGATTTATAAAGGACAATGTTTACAGGAGGATCGTGTCGAACATTGATGACCTAAAAGCCAGAATTACAATCGCAATAGCCTCTCTGGATGCCGACATGCTTGCCGCTACCTAGCGTGAAATTGACTATTGACTTGATATTCTCCGTGCGACGAAGGGTGCAAATGTGGAAGTTCATTGACAAGGGTCATGAAACTTTTTGAGTCTATTTATCTATTTATGTTATTAATTTTAATCTATCTTTATTATTTTATGAGTTATTAAACATTAAAATGGGTCCGGGACTTTATAAACACCCTGTATTATAACTTTTCATTATAGTTTCATGTTATATGACTTTTCTTTTATTTGCTTTAAAAACGTTATTACTTATTGAATTCTCAATTGGAATAATTTCTGTTTGAGAGTCAATTTAATACTTTGTAGAAAATTGTAATCTAGTTATATATTTTTTATTTAACTGTTTCACTAATTTTGAATACAACAAAATCTTTAAAAAAAATTTATTTGAGAATGCCCCTTAGTTCCTATTTTTAAAAATTATGTGATTCTTAAATAATTGATTAGATTAACCTTTGGCTTACAGTGCTCAGCATGCTGAAACCTGTAATTCTAGCCTACTTGTACCAGTTGTAAGCAAAAGGTTAACAATATATTTAATGAACTCTTAGAGATGAATGGAAATTTTTGAAAGAACTAATCTCCATAAGACAAGATTTGTTCGCATCTTCTAAAAATAATATATATTTATTACACCAGTTTAACCTAATGAAATTTCATGATAGGAAATGTTTTCTTATTCAAAAATCTTAAAATTCTGAAACAAAAAACTGCTTCGAAAAAATGAGATACTTTAGTTATTTTCGTGCAAGTTATGAATTGCCCCTCAGTTCAACATACTAAGTTTCTGTAATAAGTATTGTTATTATATATGTCTCATGAATCAGAAATTCTGCTAAAAAGAGAAATTCAGTGGAATAGTAGCACATCTGGAAATACATTTTTATTTGAGAAAGAATCTTAATCATTCACTGACTCATCACTATTAAGTAATGAATGAGTAAAGAAATTAATTAGACCCATTTTATTTCGTGATGTAGGTGAAAGGTAGAACTTAGGGAAAAGTAAATGAATTCTCGAATCACTAGCAAAGCAAACTAGTTTTAGACAATTTTAAACCCCTTTTTGCTCCTCTTGACCTCAATCATGATTTGGGAAAAGTTGAAAACATTTTGGCTATTCTTTAACAGGCATAGGGTAGTATTTACAACAGAACAGGAATTTGAAGTTACAGAGTCAAATGAGTATATTTTAAGCATTTTTGAGAATCATTGGTAAATCTAGAAAAGCAGTAAGATTTGCTACAGAACATTTAAAAGTGATTGGTGTATAGAAGTTACTTTCAAAGTAATACTCGTGTATGGGTAGTTTTCATTCAATAATTTATTTTGAAAATGTTAGTAAGAAACATCCAAGGCTGTAAAGAAACAAATGGTTACTCTATTAAAGTAATAAAATAGCATGAATTTTGTGTATAAAAAATTATTAAAAGGAAAATATATATATTTATATACATTCTAATAGAAAACTGATAAACAAAAAAAAAGAGCTATTTTTCCAAGCTATGTAATATTTATACTGCAACTAGGATAGCTTAAAAAATTTTTGAAAAATGCTTTCTACAAGTTTAATATTTTCAAAAATTATTTGTATTTGCACAAAATTATTTTAATAAGTTTTCTATAGCAGTTTTTCTTTGTCATTTCAAAAGTATTAGAATGTATCCCCTAATTCTTAATAGATGAAACTTGGCAATTCCTCAACAACATTTTTCCTAGTGAGCTACATCAAGAAAATTGATACATTAATTTTTGTGTGAAAATATTTTATTAATGCACATTTTCACAAGTTTAGTGATCACAAGGTAAATGTTTAATAATAAATAAATAAAAATGACAAAATGTGAAACTTAAAATTTACTTACTTAGAAGAAAACTAAATTTTTTATATATTAGTGGAGCAAGGAGAAATAGTTACATTTCGAAATGTGCAATATTACCCAAAATGTGTTTAACATACATTATAAACAATGAAACAATTTAAGAAAAAAATCGACATTTTAAAAAAGATGAAGGAGTAAAAATAATGTGGTAGATGAGTTTCTGCTATAAAAAAATGGAATTAAAATTAAGTACATTTCTTAAAATTTTATTTTATGATAAAATTCCTCAATTTATTTTTTCGTTCATTTTAAAAGTAAAATATTAAAATTGCATTCAGTTGTTAATTTTAATGAATTGTTGAAGAATTCAACAAAAAATTTAAATAAATGTTAATTAAATTTTTTTAATTGTTTTTCTCTGAAAATAAAAGTTTTAATTTCTTTTCAAATATCCTAAAACACATGTAAATATTTTCTTAAAATCTATCAGTTAAAAATAAAAAGCTCATTTACATAATATATTTCCTTAAAAAAATTTCAGATGATTGCATTAATTAGATTTCAGAAAAGGAATAGTAAACCTTCTGAATTACTTTCTGACCTACCTTCTGAACCATTCTGAATTAGTTTTGATTTAATATTATGAGTTTCACATGCTAAGTTGCACTTTAACAGAACAAAAGGGAACAGAAAAAGAATTTTTCATAAAATGGATGTTTTTAACATTTTAAAAGTATAAACTCTGATGACCCTATTGTCAAAATGTTTGTAATGGGTAAAATAGAGATACCAGTTGTAGTTTGATGGTTGTAACACAGTGATTAAGTAATTCTAGATCAAGTAATGCACCTTCCAAATGGGTGTTAACCTATAAATTATTATTATTATCACTGCACAATATATTAACCTTCTGTTCTAGAATTTATTCCATGCTCAATCAAGGTAAATGTTTATCTAAAATTATAAAAGGCATGAGAAGAAAACGACGCCTGGTGGCTGAGTAGTAGTGCTTCACGTTCCTGTACCACGGGTCCTGGGTTCGATCCTAGGGCCGGGCAAGGTTGACTCAAGCTTTTCATCCCTTCAGTGGTTTGATAAATGAGTACCAAGCATGCTTGGGATCTAAACACTAAGGGGTTTTGCGTTCGGTTGACCACCCAACCGGAACATCTGCTCCTGCACCCCAGAGCCTAAGGTCAAGAAAACTGAGATGGGCCCAGTAGGCCTTGGCCATCCATGGGCTGTCGAGCCACTGAGTTTGGTTTAATGAGAAGAGAACTTAAATTATAATAAATTATTAAATATTCTTAACCTTAGATTTTTAAGAATAAGATTTTACATTTTAAGCACAATATCTGACATACACTTTAAATTGAAGCATAATCAAAAGCCATGCAATGTTAGTTAAAGTATTAAATAAAATACCAAATGTTGACATCCATAGCTTTATCAGAGTATTTTGGATAGCTGAATCCTACTATACAGTGAGTTTCATTTTCATAAACTGAGAAATTGACATAAAAGTAATGTCCACCATCTAGAAAGGAAAAATTTTTGGGTTAATTGAGAAAGATGCCATAATAAACATGCTACATTAATAAAAATATAAGGTGATATAAAAGCTTATATATAAGATAAGTAGAAATATTCAACTTGAAACAAAAACTGCTCATTAATAGTATTATCCATACACAATCCGACCGGAATTTGTTGGGTTATTCGACACCTCTATGTAGTAAATTTTAAAATCATTTACTGAGAAAGTAATATAAAAGTAAATTAAGGTATCTATAAAAATTTATTTAATTACTAAAATTAAAAGTAAAAATTAAGTAAATTAAGTGCTGCCATACTAAAAAAAACATGTAAGAGAAAGACAAAAAAGTATAGGTGGACAAGTACAGGACAAAGTGGTCTCTTTAGTATAAAGCTAAATCTGCAGGGAAAAAAAATATATAAATTGTCTGTGATTTTAAGGAAGAAAACATTTTACAACTTTCTAATTATGTCTGTTTGAAAACTCTAACCTACAGTATTTCAAACTTTTATGTCGAAATGTCACAAAAATTTATTCCCGACTTTTACATGGATTTTAAACTATTGTTGTTTGTTAAAAATTTGTTAAAAAGTACTAAAATTGAATAAATTAATTTTATAAATTTTTTGTTATTGTCTGAGGAAGACACAAAATAAAATTACATTGATACATTAAAAAGAACCTCAGTACTAACACAGAAAACAAAAAATTATTAGGATTATATAAGACATATCATTTTTGTGTTTTAAAATCATTGGTTTTTCTCAACTAAAGTATCAATATCATAAAATTTTTTTTTAGTTACAATTTTCAAAATATCCTTTAAATGCTGATCTAGCAAATGTGTCATTGTTTTTGATATTGTGCTATTTAAAATAATTAGCTAATTTCATGAAATTATCTTGGAGTCAACAGTACACTGAACAGACAAATTTTCTATTCCTTATTATAAACGTTAGTCACAAATTTGCAGAAGTAGTTGCTACAAATTGAATGAGATAATTTAGGGAGACACTAAAGTATCATCATTGGGCTACTAATTGCACAAGGGACTCCCCTTGAAAATTCCCCCCCTGGATGAAGTTAGGCAAATTAGCTATGAAAATCTACTCATATAAAGAAGAAACGATAACATAAAGAAGAAACAACATATTTTAAATGAGTACACTGGTTGATGAAAAATGACAACCAGTACAAATTTCATTATATTCTATGCATCCAATCTTTTATAGTCATACTGTTGAAAAAAATGCTTATATGCTTTGTTAACGGATTACTTAGTTTAATTTACAATAAATATTGAGCTTACTCTTCAGATTGTGCTAAATTAAATATTCCTTTTTATTCAAAGAGATTTATTTACATGTATGAGATTTACTTGTATGTGTGAGTTGAATATTATGCTGCCACTTTTCTTGAACAGTCAAGAAAAAAGGCTATTTCACATTTTTTAAAACAACTAACATGATAATCTCAAAGCAAAATAACTTTTCAAAATATAACTGCAATTGAAATATAATAAATTTTCCCAACTGTAGATATAGGAAAATGTTTAAATAATTCTGCTAAATAGAAAGGTTTAGTAAAAATTTCCTACACCTAAGAGTTTTATGCTTATAGTTCTCTGATATACTTTAAAACTGAATTTTGATTTTTTATTTATTTTGAAGTAAAATGTAAACATGTTTATTCAAGAAATACAAATGAAGATGCAATAATATAAATTACAGAAAGTAATTCTACTCAAAGAGGAAGTAAAAGTAATTCAATTACCTATAAATTCATTTCAATTCATTCATTCATATAATAATTGAAAAAATAAAATGTTAGAAATAAGAAGAATTATGGACTCTTATATAATGATGGATTCCTGGAACCAATATACTAATAAAATCAGTTATAACCAATTGAAAATTTATTTTTTATGCATAAGCATAATATTGTTCATACCTTTTCAACACTATCCTGGCATATACAATGTTTATAAAGCTAAATGTTTAAAGAAATACATTAAATTTGTCGAGTAATATTTAATGGAATAGAACTCACTCTTCAGATTGCTTTAAATTAGTATTGTTCTGACCAACTCTCACTTGCAGATAACATTGTCAATAAAGAAAATTTCTGAATTGTATAAACTTTTTAAGGGGAATTTCTTCTTATAAAGTTATTACATTATTATATTCTAATTATTCATATTATTTTCAATTATAATTTAGCAATAAAACACGTTATTTGGCAAAACCAGTAAAAAATTATGTAAACAGGTTGTCATAATCTTAGTAATGCGTAAATTTTAGCTTTGACACACATATAGATGAATTTTAATTAAATTTAATCAAATAAAAGGTCGACAGGTGTTATCAGATTCTCCAGAGACTAGAATACTAAATAAAAAGCCTCAAACAGCTAGTGATGAAAAAACAAATAAAGGAAAACTAAATTTTGTTTGTGCACAATTATTTTCCAAATTTGACTGTCAGATTAGTTAAAAATTTCCAAACTAATTAAAAAAAGTTAACATATTTACCAGTGGCCTCTTGTAAGTAGAAATAAGTAAACCACTTGTTAACATTAACCATACTAGTAATATTAAAACATCCACAGAAAACCAGTTGAGAACAATTTTAGAAGAAAAAAGGTTTTGAATTGTATATTTTTGGAAAATTGTGAATTAAGGACAAAAAAGTTGTATGTAGAATGAGATGAGAATAACTAAAAGTAATTCAGAACTAATACATAAGCAAATAGCATACATTTCATATTTAAATAATAAGAGAACAAAATGAATGTCATATGTTTTATTACCATTTATCAAAGTATTTGCTGGAATTAGTGCATTTGTATTATTTGGAGCTGGGAATTGAGGCTTGATATCTTTTGTTCCTACAAAGAGAAAAATTTAGTTGCTGAAAAACATATATTCCAACAAATCTTAGAAACTAAGAAAATAATGTTTTTTAGAAAATAAATTGTTAAAAATAGAAAAAAAAAATGTTATTGAGACTAATATAGTAAAGTTTAAGAGTGATATTTGGGCAGACATTTAAAGTTTGAGTTTGAAGTCTCTGCCCCTGTTTGATGTTATTTTTAGCAGGTTTTTATAATGAGGGAATGTCTTTCACACACAGGTTCCTAATTATAATTTTTAGAATAAATTTGTAAGCAATAATGTAATGGAACTAAAACAGTGCCATTAACTTGAAATGATATTGAAAAGTTGAACAAGAATGTGGAAAATGCCTAACACTGTACATCAATCATTTGAGAAAGTTCCATCATCAAATTTAACCATATTGAATGTAATGAAGGCTGCAGATATATCAGGTACATTACAAATGGATATTGAGTTAAGAGCAAGGTTTGTTATTAATTTTATATAATTAATGAATCATTTGAAACAAATCAGTATAACAAAAAGTCTAATAAGGTTTTTTTGAGTTAAAAAAAAGAGTGTGATAACAAAAGTAATTTTAAAGCTTGTAAGTTGTTACTCTTGTAATATGCTCTAGAACCAATATACATAACTTTATATATATATCGAAAACCAATATATATATATATATATATATAGACATAANTATATATATATATATATCTAGAACTTTATAGATCTAGAACCAATACACATAACTTCATATATATATATGGTTGATGTCTGCACATTGGTTCAGAGTTATTTTTACATCCTTGTTGAACTTTTTCAAATGATTATGATGGATGCTAACTGAAATTGGTCAAAATGATGCTAGAATTCACTAGGTAAGAAAAGATTATCACTGTTTAAACAAAAGCAGTTAGTCTGCAAGACTCTTTGACAAAGGTATAAATCAAAATGTATAATTCATTTCTTTTTTTTCAAAGACTTTTCATTAAAAGACAACCATGTCTGTAACATGTTTAAACAACTTCTTTTAGGAAAATAAAATTCTCAACCAGCTGTCAAAAAAGCCTTTCACAATTTTTCAACAGCAGTTTACTTAAAATTGTAGATCTATGTTTTTTGACATTTTAAAATGCCTATGAATATAATTTTTAATTAAGAAATAAATATTCCACTTCAATGTAACTAGAACTAAAAATTATTAATTAAATAAAAATATGTGATTACTTTAACTTTTAAGCTCATAAAATATCATTTAATAATTAATTCTAGTAGTATAATATAACTAGTTTTCTGTCAGTTGCTATAATAGGAGTCAGCTTGCCAACTTATACTTAAGATTTGTTAAAATTTTGTGATAATTTTTATTCATTCTCACAATCAAAAACAGAAAAAAAATATATATATTTTCTGAAAAATTATAAAAATTAATACAATTGGGAAAAGTATGAAACAAAAGATTTATTACAAAAACAGTTTACCTACAAAGCCCTTAAAGGATTGATTTTTTACTTACTCAAGCAATATGCTTCATACGCAAAGTCATTTGATAAAGCATTAGTCTTTGTGTCTTTTAAACGTAGTTTCTTAGACTGAATAACAAAAAGTTGATCCATATAGAAGCCTGCATTTAAAAAGAATAAATATGGATTATTATACAAAATAATGAGGATAAAGTGTCCTTTTTTGTGATAAAGATATTGACTAATTGATATTTTGTGCAATTTTTAATAAAAGTTTTCTGAAATGAATAACAAAAGAACATTTTTAAGGGTTGGATTTGAAAGATTGAGACTATTTGTTTTAAATTTTAAGAAAAAGAAGTTTAAAATTTTTAGGTGATAAATAAAACTTCTTGCAAAAAATGTATGAAGTAAATTTGATAAGATTTTTTAAAACTAATAATGTCTTTTCCGTTATATTTGTTTGGGGTTTTGAAAAGAGGTCAGTATAGTTTATAAGATACTGTATATTTCTGAATACAAGTCCATCTGTGTATAAACCAAAGAATATGCTTTTTATCTCGATGGAAGTTAATCTTAAATTTAAAATTTGTTGACGAAAAGAAAAAAATAAGGCATGGTAGGCTTGGACAGTNAGTATAGAAATAATAAGTAATTTGAAGAAATATGTTTGCGGAAAATGTAGAATGGAAACACCCTGTATATGTACAAAATGCTTTGATCAATGAATTAAAAATTGTAATTTTTTGTGTTTGCAACCTTTTTTTAGTGTCACGAAAATGTTTGTACTAAAAACAGTGGCGTACGCAAGGGAGGGGTTTAAACACCCCCCTGGAGCTCAGACAAAATGGCAAAAATAAAAATTTTAGTAGAAATTATGCGAGCTATTATTTTTTAAGACTATATATTTTTATTAACCATATGCCTACTTTTTTTTTCTCATTTACTATAATAGGGTTGTACTTTTGAAACCAAATTCACGTGATACTGTTATGAACTGGTTACTTTCTGTCCTGCCAGTATAGTTTTCGAGACTGGCTGTCATTCGCGAGGTCTTTACGCGATGATTCTGGAATCCTAGACGTTCTGTCGTCTTTGAGATAATTCGAGAATTGTGGAGACGCGGTGAAAAATTATATAAAAGGGGGAACGGAGTATATCAAGTCAAGTCAAGTGGAGTTAGTTAGTCAGACTTATCTCTGCCGCTTTTCTTTCGGAACTTCTCGCTAAATCTGTTTTGTTTTGTCTTAACAAAAAGTTCATTCAATCGCCGAACCTGTCGTCGCCAATATTTCGACAAGTGAAGAAATCAGTAACAATACCAGAGATACTGTGCTCGTTGAAGTTATTCATTCCAGCTCGAAACTTTGAGATCGTAGCATAGCGGATATTTCTGGGCCAATATATACATATATTTGCTGTTCTTGGATCTTTAGGATTTAACAATTTTTAACACAAGAATTTAACATTTAATTATTTTGAGAAAAAATCACGATCTGAAATTAGTGAGGTGACAGCATCTAGTACCAATGTAAGTTTTTCTGTTGTACAGAAATGTGATACTTCCGTTGAAGAAACTGTTTCTAGCATAACAAAATCTGATGAATGTGGAAGTGGCCCTCAAAGTGTTACTTTCCATCCATATGACATTAAACTTCTTTCAGAAAATATTACATTATGTTCATAAACTTAAAAAATCAAATCAAAATTTAACTAAACAATGTTGTCTAAATAAAAAGTCAAAATTGTCTAGCTGTCTAAATTAGGGAAATATTAGTGCTTTATAACAGATTCGAATTTCTTTTAGTAGTTTCAGAAAATTATGAACACCCCCCTTGAAAAAATTCTGCTTACGCCACTGACTAAAAACCTTTTTTCAGTGAAGCAAAAATATTGCAGCTTAAAACCTTTCATCCTAAAAGGATTAAAAAGTGTTGTCATTTAGGTCCTTAATGACGTTTTACCTGACGTCACGCTAGCGATAGGATCAAATTGCATTGTCCATTAAAATTTCGTGACAAGGTGGATTTTAGCTGAGACTCTGCAAAAATAAACCTTATAATTACCTAGATTTACGACTATTTTCATCTTGAGACTAGTTTTAGTAAAGGATTTTTCAAGCTTGCAAAACCCTAAGTCAACTTCGATTTAAGGTTTTTAGACAGAAGGTTATTTTCCAAGGTTTTGGGTAATGTGCATAGAATAGGGCAGATTGTCACAGATCTCGTCTTAAGCATGGGTGCCACTCTAAAAATATTTCAAGATCGAACTTATTATTTTGATCAATTAGCACAATCTAGCAGTTGTTTACTATAATTTTCAGAAACTTATTACTCGCTGACTCCAAAATGTACCCTTCTATGACAAGGACTTATTTATTAAATCAATAATTGTAGTTTTTTTCCTCTTTATGTTATTAATTTATTTTTTACAGCAAACGAGATAAAAATAACAGCTAACCTTGTACATCTTTTTACAACAATCACTGAATAATAAACAACTAATTTTTTCATGAAGCTATGCATATTTTTCACTTTATTATTTGTACTTTGTCCTATCTCTATAATTTTTTAAATAAAATAATAATAATCTTAATTTAATTTTGGAGAGCATTTCAAAACAAGAAAATTTAGATACGACAATGGTACAAATTTTTATTAAGCAAGCAGGCGTTGAAGTTCAATCTCATTCTTTCATTAATGAACTACACCATTACTTGATCATTCCGCAATAATTATGAAAATTAACAATGTTTACATTAAAATAAAACTTTCATTTTTATTTAACAAAATTTTTTTTTACATTTTTAGGAAAAAAAAACAGAAATTTTTATATTAAATACAAATAGAAAAGAGATATTAATTTAGTGAAACTTAATGTACTGCTTTTCTCTCAAGACTGATTTCAGTCCCCAGGACTGAAGTCCTGGTGCAAGTTGGAAAAAAGGTTAGGACTGAAATTTTTTTGACTGAAATACCTAAGATACACAATACCCCCTCGACATATGCAAACTATCTAAGAAAGCTTTACCATAATACATCAAGTTTAAATACTGTACAAAAAATATTTATTCATCTGTCTTTTGATAGAATAACAACAGGACATAAGAAAGTAGACCAATAACGTAGACCTAAAAAATATTTTTAAGGACAGAAATTTTTTCTTCCGATTTCCGTCTTCGAGTCAGTCTTGTTCCCGTCCGCAGACATTTTCGAAAGACGGAAATCCGTTCTGGGGACGGAAGACTTGCACCCATGGGTTAGAAGGTTTACACGTAAAGTGTATTACAAACCGTTTTAGGTTTACATTAAAAGGTTTTTGTTCAGTGAAAATAAACCTTATTTTGCTCTCTGGGATAAAGTCCGGTCATTTGACCAGTTATGGTAGAAATAGGTATATATTAAGCTTTGGTATGTTTAGTGTTAAAAACTGCGGTTGTGTGTTGTAAAATGTGGTTTCCTTTTTGAAATATCTACAGAAAAATTAGAAACAAATGCTTTATTAACAAAACATTATTCTATATATGAATATGATTTATACAACAAGTGATATTTACAATGAAAAATTAGGCACAATCATTCATCTGTCTCTTTAGATCATAGAATCATCTCTTCTGATGTGTCTTCAGCTGCTTGAGTTTTTTTCCATTTTTTGGCTATTTCAAGAAGTTTAAGATGAGGCTGAGCAACTTCATCAGATGGAAATATATAGTCGTAATATTCTTCATAACTTTCAGACTATAAATAAATAAATAAAATGAAATCAATTATTGCATAATTTATAAAACAAACAAACCTTCTTCATAATTTGTAAATGAATGAATTTTATAAAGTCCACAGCATGTCTCAACATGTAACAAATAAATGCCAAAAGTATCAGAGTATTTAAACTAGAGTTGGCATGATTAAATTTATTGATTTAAATCAACTGCAATTTTTTTTCAACAAAAATTGTTAATTAAAACTGCCAGGTNTTTTAACGCAAGAATTTAGCAATTTTTAATTATTTTGAGAAAAAATCACGATCTGAAATTAGTGAGGTGATAGCATCTAGTACCAATGTAAGTTTTTCTGTTGTACAGAAATGTGATACTTCCGTTGAAGAAAATGTTTCTAGCATAACAAAATCTGATGAATGTGGAAGTGGCCCTCAAAGTGTTACTTTCCACCCATATGTCATTAAACTTTTTTCAGAAAATATTGCATTATGTTCTTAAACTTAAAAAATCAAATCAAAATTTAACTAAACAATGTTGTCTAAATAAAAAGTCAAAATTGTCTAGCTGTCTAAATTAGGGAAATAATAGTGCTTTATAACAGATTCGAATTTCTTTTAGTAGTTTCAGAAAATTATGAACATCCCCCTTGAAAAAATTCTGCGTACGCCACTGGGCTTGGAAATAAAATATTATCCCCTCTAGTAAATACGGGTGCATAGTGGGTAAAAGCAGAATGGACATTCCAAATTTGTAATAAGATGATTAAAAAATAATAGTATTCCTTTTAAATTGCTTATTTTTTTTATGTGCTTCTTTTTCAATTTTTATATTTAGGCATTTCGTTTTCAACATTAATGTATTTTTATGTTTTGTGTGTATGCTTCATGATATTTACTGATTATCATTAGCACTCTACAAAAGGAAAAGTATTTTTTTGGCGATGTCCTCCAAGAATTTTTAAATTTAGTGGATCTCATTATAAGCCATTGCCCCTAAACTTTAGCCCTCAAAAATTTTAGGTTAAAATTCAGTAATAATTTATAAACTGATAAAACATTTTATAAATAATGACAGTTTGGGATATGTATATTCTTTCAACCAAATATAAAGTTACATAGAAGCATAATAATATTTATATTCTCATACATATTTAAGTAATGACATTGACTATATCTAAAAAGATAAAATTTACTAAAAAACTTCATCTTTTATTTGAGCAAATTCATTTAAAATTTTTGATGAAAACGTAATTTCTACACTGAAAGCTATGGGAGAAAATTGGTGTTCCATAGAAAAATGTAACAAAGTTATACAACTGTACTGGGTTCAAGGATTAACAAATTTATAAAAACAGACAAATTAATGGATTAAATATTATTCTGGTGATAATTATGTGAAGATAGAACAAAAAATAATAAATATAACATATATATGTAAGCCTACACACCTAAATACAGCAATGCAATGTGTTTCCCATCTTCATTTTCTAATTCAAAGAATTCTGAATTACTAGAAAAAGGGTCTAACGAATAAACCCAGTCATTCACAAGCCAAGCATCAATTATTTGTGATGATGTCTAAAATCAAAATACATTTATATAAAAATTAATGAAATAAATCCTAACAATACAGAAAGAAAATATTACACAAATAGAAAACTTATTATAAGATTTCTGTCTATCACAACACAGATCTTTTCTACTTTGTACTTCTTTAGTACTCCAAGAAGCATTAAGCTGAAAATATGTATTACATTAATTCTAGACATCTATTAAGGAATTTACTGGGCAAATTAAGTTAAGCTTTTTGAAGGTGAAACATTAAAACATAATATTTAATCACACTTCAACTAATGCTCAGCATTACATGCATAATATTTAACGTAAAACCACAGAAAAAACAATAAAATGTTAATGTAATTGAACTGCTTTATCAACTCGCAATATTTTTTACAGTATTTACTTGTATCTGAATATAAAATTAAAGAAAGTTCAAAAATTTTAAGCAAAAGAAGTACATGCTATTTATAGTATAAGACATATATAAGTAACTACCTAAAAACTATTTTAAGCTTTTTCAAACAAACGTACAGTAACCATTTTGACACTGCATTCCAGGGGTGATTGTGATATAAAGAGAAAAACTCTGAAAATTTTATGAGCAAAAACTTGGTATCAAAATATAAATTTATATAAATGTTAATTTTTTTTAACTAAAATTTATAATTAAATTACCAACTAATGAAGAATATCACACCTTTACAGTAACTAATATAAGAAAAACTTAGTTCTTACAAGAATCATGATATTGGACTTAAATCATGATATTGGATGTTTAAAGCATGTGAATATGAATAGCAAATCACAATTTATAAATCGCGTGAATACAATTCTCAATGTGTAACTTCAAAATCCGGTAAATACAAAATTCGCTGTTCGATATTGAAATTGACTGAATTATGAATCACGATATTAGAAGATTACAGCATAGTTTCAAATATTAAAAATAGCAAACAAATCAAACTGGCAACAGAATCATTTGTATAAAAACGTATTGTTTATGCGATTTAACAAAAGTTTCAAATTTTAGATAGCTGAACTCAGACAGCTATCTAAAATTTGAATTTGAGAATTTGTGGGATTATAAGTTTTGATTCGTGGAAGTCTGCCAATTAATGGTCTTGAGATGTGTGGAATTCCATGAAATTTGCATAAAAATCTTATGCCCTGCTCCTAGTTTTTAGGCCTGGAAGGATGATATGAAAAACTCAGAGTGCAATCACCCCTGAAAATGGGAAATTCAATATTAAATAATTAAAAAAAAAAAAATCAAAATTATTGCAATTTAAATACTGCATCCTAGAAAAAATTGAGATGAAAGACACTTTTAAAAATAAGTTTAATTATAAAAAAATTTTAATCAATCATAAACTAGAAAGATTCAGTTTTCATAAGATCCATATGAAAGAGATTTTCTGAGTTTAAATTTTTTCTCTCGTTATCTCACTTTTGTTGCATAGAAAATCCCAATATCAGGAAAAACTACAGAATATGATAAATGAGCAAGAAATCCATAATAAAAATTTTGTATAACTTAATAGATAAGTATTTACGCATCAATGAAACCTAAAACTTAAATTATAATCATACCTTAAAAAACCAAGAAAATTCCATTTCATCCTCTTTTAATAAACCAACAATTCCTTTAAGCAATGATATTTTAACTCTATTAATTAAATTTTTATCATAAATTCCATTTCCTAAAATTAGAGCAGTACTTTCGGATGGCTGATTTACTTTTGAGAAAGCAGCATGTCCAGACATAGGTTGCCCTACAGTTCTAGTTATGAATAATTCACTGACTTTTAACTTCCACCTGAAAAAAACAGATAAAGGAACAACTAAAATTATGTGCTCGATTATGTAAGAAATAACTTTTAAAGAATAAAAATCAATACCTTAGTTCTGCACTAACTTCATCAATTGAATTCACATAACGTACAATTTGTTCTACAACTAAAATATCTTCAGGAAATATTTTTCTTAAGTTTTCACAGCCTGATGATGAACAATTATAAGCCACCTATGGATAATTATTTTAAAATATATATAAATTCATGTATAACTTGTAATTAACTTTAGAATTTCTAAAAAAAATTGAGACTTTAAAATATTATCGAAATATGTATTATAAGCTTGCAGAATTGTTTCATCGACATAATTCACTCTGTTTTTAAAGCGATCTTTTCTTTTTAATTTTATCAATGACAGACACATTAAGCATTTGGTTTAAGATGCTGTTAATGATTAATTTAGTCACTTAACAGTTTATTAAATAATTAATTTGCATTCTGCAAAATATTTTAGTAAACATGCATAAATAATACTACTTTTCTAGAAATTTCCCCTAACTTTTTTTTTTTTAAATTTCTTAATATTTTGATTCCTTTCAAAATAAATTTTTTTCTCAAATAAAATATTTTCAGATCGGAATTTTTTACAGTAAAATTTAAATTTACTTCACATGCTTTAAATTAATACAGGTACAAAATATTATTGAGATATTGTAACATTGAGAATTAATTGGTTAATTAAGAGAACTGAACTTAATTTTTGTTAAAAAAAAAAGAATATTTGAATGCACATGGGCTTTGACCTAAAATCCTAACTAAAAACTTTTTTGTAGATTCTAATATGAGGTTTAGCGATTAGAACAATTTAGTTTTCAGTATAATTGTAACCTCAACATTGAATGAATCAAAATTTTAGAACTGGTTTTAAATTTTTTAATAAACATGTATAATTATTTCTCAATTTCATAAACATCCTAGCATACATGTGCCAAATTATAGATTTGCAATAAAAAAAATTTATTGCATATCTGCCAACCTCATTTTTAAAAATTGCAAAAGATTAAAAACAAAATACAGGAGAAAAAACTATAATGCAAAATATTTGAAGCCGTTAAAAATACTTAAGTAAATTGATCAGAATCAAGACCTGAAATGCTAAATCATGAGATATTTACTATTTTTACATTCAGTAATTTTATTTTAATACAAAAATAAATACTCTTGATTTTTTTAAACAGAATTCTCGATCAACTATAATGAAATAAAAAATCGGTTGCTCTAAAAATAGTGCTCTTTTTTTACTTTTACCTCCCATTTACAGTGTTTCCCTTAAGTGTTTTTAGAAGGGTAGCTTGCCTTGCCCACTTCTTGATCCCTTTAATTGTGCTTTCTTAGTTCTTTTTTTAAAAATAAGCCCTTAAAAACACCACCTTTTCATTCATATTCCACTTCGAAAAAAATCATTTCACTGTTAATTACATGCTAGTATAATTATCTGTGTTTATAGGCTTAATTTTGATTATGATTACTGTAACAAGTTTGCACTTTGTAAAGAATAGTCTCATAAGTATCTCTTTCTTCAGGGTTCTGTTTTATTTTAAATGCACCTTTAAATGTTTATTTTCTCATAATTTTCAGTTTAAATTATAGAAAAAAGTTTTCAAGCAGTTTATCAATTAATAATTTTTTTCAGTTTACTTTTTTTGAAAAAAATTTATGCACAGAGATAGTATTTTAATATGCTTTCAATTATTTTTATAAAATACAATTTTTTCTCTTATTTTGATAATGAGTGAATTATTTTTTTAAATATACCCATAAAATAGTTTAAATTATCATTCAAGAGGATCAAATTCAGTTATTACACAATATTGCACATTTTGATAAATTTTTATGGCGTTAAGTAGGTGCTTTTTCAAAATTCGAAGTGCTCTTTTCTGAAGCACCCGCACCCCGTCCTTTTTTACTTCTAGGGAGAACTCTGTAAAATATGATGTGATGAGGCTAATTTTTGACAACAAAAGACAGTATGACATACTCTATGAGTGCTGTAATGAATACCACTTTGTAACAAAATAATGAACTCAGTCAGTGCAATAAATTTGTTTTGCTGGTTATTTTAAATTTGGTTAAAATAAAGTTGAATCAAGTACGATTTTACAACCAGACACTCATTTAGAATCATGACAATTCTGTCGTAAAGCCACATGATCGTTAAATTCCCAATTTCTCAATACTATAGCACTCTAATTTCAAATCAAATCTTTTGTAATTATGTGATTTCGCAATCTTTTTTTTGTGGCAGTTGTGGCTACTGATTTAGCAATGTTATTTTGGCTATTTTAGCTCCATTATTTTCTATAACGAGACACAAATTTCAAATCACATTTATAACAATCACTTTTTGCATGCTTAATTTGTGAGAATCAGGGATGAGATTAGCCAAAAGGCAAAAAAGCTGAATTTCTACACTAGTAAATTTTACGCAAGCGCAACCCTTTAATAATAAATTCCAGACAGTTTAAGACAATAAATAATGTGTTGACATACAATTGTGTACTAATCTATTATTATATAAATGATTACATTGATACTTAACATTTAGTGAAAATAAAAATTACCAATTGAAAAAATAAAGCTGGAAATTATATTTTTCCTCAGTTCACATAAGAGACAATTATTACTTGAAAAACTACCTGGTTTAGCAAATTAAAACTACTGAGAATATACATTAATATTTCATTTCTTTTAATAAATACTGTTATGTGATTTATAGCAAATATATCAGTAATATTACTTTTTAAATTATATTGGAAAAAAAAACTTTAACAATGGACCGAATCATTATGTTCATATTATAGTCTAATCTAACTAGAGCCCTTTGAAACATATCAATAACAGTGAAGTAGAAATATATAGTAACTCCTTAACATACAAAAATTGCTATTTTAGTTTGAAAAATTACATGACAATCAGCAACTGTTTAGATAATTGTTTTTTATTTGATAAGAATTTTGCATTTTATAGCATAAATAACAGCAATTATAAATAAAATTTTGATGATGAGTTAATTAACTCTTTTTCCAAAAAAAAAAAATTTAAATTAAATCACTTTTTAAGTGATTGCTTTTGTTTGCTATATCTTTTATGTTTGCTATATTTAGTCGTTAGTCCATCTTCAAACATCTTGTGACAAATCCTATTTTTTCTTCTTTGCAAGCACAGAATGTAAGTTTTGAATATATTCCCTTCCAGTTTCTCTGATGTTGTAACACTTACATATACTAATAATCGTCGTTAGAAAAACAGTCACCTTTATAGTAACTAATTTTAAAAAAATTTACTTCTTACAAGAATCGCGATAGTTGATCTTAAAATTGCGTGAATATGAATAACAATTATGGATTTTGAAATCACATGAATATGAAACTAGATATACGATTTTGAAAATGAGAAAATACAAACTGGGATATAGAATTTTTAAAACGCGTAAATACAAATCACGATTCATAATTTTTAGATCGCGTAAATACGAATCATGATGCGTAATTTTTAGATTGCATAAATAAGAATTATGATGCATAATTTTTAGAATGCGTGAATGCGAATCCCAATGCCTTATTTTAAAATCACGTATAAATACGAAAATCAATGTTTGATATTATAAACCGCATGAGCAAATCAAGACATTGAATTTTAAACTTGCGTGAATACGAATCGCTACATAGGTTTTTAAAAAGGCGTAAATACGAATCACAATATCGGATTTTTAAATCTCGTAAATAAGAATCGCAACGTACAATATTCAAATCGCGTGAATAAGAATCGCAACACGCAAATATGAAAAGCTATGTTTGATATTAAAATCGTGTGAATAAGAATCGAGATATTAGCAGATTCCAGGCTTGGGACCTCTAAAAGGCTTGTCAGAAGCAGCGTCGTTTGAACTACGAAAATCGGATCTATCTGGAGGGCGGGTAAAAAATTCGGAAAATCTTATCTGCTGCGTGTAAAAGGGGAGAAAATAGCTAAAATAAGTAAAAATGAGGAAGGATTGGTAACTATGTAGTTTGAATTTTCTGTTTCTCTTTGAAAATCGGTGAATTTCCTGAAAAAGCGGAATATTTATTAAAAAATGTGAAATTTTTAGAAAATCTGAATTTTTGATAAAAAGCTGAAATTCAAGAGATAAAAGTGAAAAAAGGCGGAAATCCGCTAAAAAGCGGAAAAATCTCATCCCTGGAGAATTCTATCGTATTCTACTTGGTTTTGTCTGATCGTAGTTATTGCAACAGATTTCCATGTGATTATAATCATTAATATTACTTCTATTTTATCATGACAGGCTAATTTCCACAACTCAAAGATACACAACTTTTAAAATACTATAATTTTTAAACCTTGCTATTATAACACACAAATTTCCATTTGTGATATTATTTTTTGACACTTATGATTCTCTGTGATTATCCAAGTTGTTTATCACTTTTTCAGTTCACTACGAATTACAAAACATTTTTAAAAATCCCATTGTTTTTAACCTGATTTTATTAGAACATTCAAATTTCAGGTAGCACATTTTAAATTAAAGATATATGAACCACAATTTATATATATATGAACTTACAATCATGCAATTACAACCTGCACCATTTGTTCCAGAATAAATAAAATTGATTCACTGTTTTATACCATTTCTTTACCAATTTAATTAAAAATAAAATAAATTGCACAATAAGAAAAAAAAATCAGTAAATAATGTGCTAAAAAATACCTCAATGCAAAACATTATAGTTAATAGATTAATGAAAAAAGGCATTAAATAGCAATTTCATACAAGGAAAAAACACACTTTTTAATATAAAAGTCTTTTATAGTAAATAAAAACAAAAGATGTATGTATGACATCTAATCCTGTCATTTACCAGTTCGCTTTGCATGGATTAAAAAAAACTGTTTTTTTCTTTCAAATAGAAATCAGTGTAAATAAAAATTTTACAATAACTTATTTAAAATTTTTGAATTATTTTATTACCTCAGAAAGAGTAAACTTTTGTCCTCATTGGTAATAACACTAAACCTTGTAAAAATTAAAGTTCTTACTACAAAAAGAACATTTTAAAAATGATAACACATGAAATTCTTGAAAATATTATAACTGCACACTGCAGCATTTTACGATACAAAGTATAAATTTAAAAATTTATATTTTATTTGTAACTTTCAAGAAGTAATACTGGTTCTGATCACTTGAGCTCTGTTATAGTTAATAAATGAGAAAATAAATAGATAATTTATGATGTCCGCAACTAAATACTATAACCATATTCAAGCAATTCACATACCTGCCCAGTTTGGCGATCAACACCGAAAACAAACTTCAATTTTCCACCAACACTCCTTGTAGATGGAAAAAGAGACTTGTGGCTGTATAAAATATCTTCAACTGATATATTTAAAGGGGCCAATTTAAACTTGTCATACTTGAAAAAATTGCCGTCAAGAGATGGAACAAGATCCACAAGATCTTCATTTTCTCGAACCTTAAAAAAAAAGATAAAAAAAGAGAGTAAATTACCATAGGTACACTTATGATATAATTGTATTTCATCAATTTTAATGTCACTAATATTCTCACAAACTAAATTAAACCATAAAGGGACATGGCCTACTGTGCACATCTTAGTTTTCTTGACCTTGGGCTCATAATTATATTCTCATAATATAATAAAAAAAGGAAATATCCTTAATATTGACAAAATGAGATCGACCATATAATCTAATAAATCCTTCAGATATATAGTTTGCCTACGTTAAGAACTCACCTAGCCAATCGCCTGGAGTGGTGGCGGTGACAATGGATACAAGGTTTTACTATTTCAAGTAAGTATGTTGGGTCATTATTTAAAATAGGTTTTGGCTCAGGTTAGCGAGAGAAAGAGAGTCCGGAGAGAAAAAAAACTTCCCTCTCTGAAATGTGCTATTCCTTGTTTCCATAGCAGCAGATAGCCTACGACTTTGTGGCAAGGAGAGTTCTTTCTACAGACAAACTATACATTTAAAAGTTTTGTTGTGTTACAATATTAATAAAAGCTTAACAATTGTTATAATTTAAACGAGTTTTGCTTGTTAAGAAACTAACCCTATTGATCATATTGTTGATAGAAGTAATTCAGGTATTAAGCAAATCTTTTGTCAATCTGTGCTTTCTTATAGTAAAATCAATGCATAAAATGTTCTTCTATTGCCTACCATTGGCAGAGCTGTTGCATTGATATTTCTTCAGCAAAAAGCAGTCAGCATTGCATTTTACGAAATAAAGGTAATCTAGATTATTGGGATACGCTGCAAGTAATATATGTATATGCTAAGCAAGTAATAAATAAATTAATGACTTGTACCCCCGTCCTGAACATAACAAACATTTTAAATTGTTTTTTTTTTCCTTCTTGTCTTTTTTTTAAACCACGTTTTGATCTTATTAGCGATGGTCACTACAATTGCAAACTTCATTGTTGTTGTTGTTGATTTACGTCGCACTAGAGCTGCACTGCAAACTTCATAGTACTTCCAGATAAAAACAGTAGACCAAGGACTAGACTGTCAAAGCTGCAATTATGGGTGAGACTTAATGTATGAATTCAAAAGTGCTAAAACTGGCTATAACACAAATATAAAAAAGATTACATAAGTAAGGAATTATCTATTCATGGTTAAGATATGAAATGGGCTCATAAAATAGATCTGATAAAAATTGATTAAAAAAAAAAGGCCATTGCTTCAGGGAGTTAAATCAAAATTAGGATACAGGACATGCATATACCTAGAAAAGGTGTGGTACTAGCAAGTGAAAATCATACTTTTTCTTATAATCTTGATTGGTCTTTAAATTATATTTTAAAATTTTCTAGCTGTCTTAGCTATATATATACCTAATAAAACAAGAAAAAAAAATCTTTTTTTCTAATAAAATTCCACTTTTTTGTTAACATATTCCAGTTTGCAGGAATTGAAAAACACAAAAATGGCACTGTTTGTGGAAAATATCTATCACAAATGAATATATATTAATAATTAGTTAAAAATTTGGATTAATTTATAGACCTCATATTAATTTTCTAAAATAATTTAAAATATAACAAATTAACACCAATTTATACCTGAAGGTTACACAAACTGGAATGCAAAAAGGAGTTCTTGTCTAATACTAAAGACCAGCACACCTCTCCGGAATTAAAATCCACAGCTGTTATATTCCCATCAATCGTAGCAATGATAAGATATTTCCTGAAAATCACATATATATTACAAACAATTTCTCAAGAAGATAATATTATGCTCATCACTAGTGCTCAGATTTTGATGACTTAAAAAAATCGCAATAAATGCCATTAACTGCTGAGAGCGTAGATATACGTCTCGGCCAGATGAAGCTTTAACTGCTGCAGGCGTAGATATACGCTTTCCCGAAGTATGATGCTTTGCATTGCGCTGCTATAAATAGAGCTACACTCTCGACTTTGGAATGCAGTAAAATGACCTTGAAAGTGTTCGCGAATGCATTACCCTTGGCAAACAAAGAGTTAGCCTCTGGTATCCTTTGGCCAAGGTATTACCAATTTCGGAAGGGGGGAGGGAGAATGGGAAAAGGATGTGTTGGAAAAGTGATATCCAACACCCTCGACTTTGGAATGCAGTGAAATGACCTTGAAAATGTTTGCGAATGTATTACTCTTGGCAAACAAAAAGCCAGCCTCTGGTATCCATTGGCCAAGGTATTAGCAATTTCCGAGGGGGGGGAGGGGGAAAAGGAAAGTGATGTGTTGGAAAAATGATATCTTATTTATTGCTTGTGTGTTTTTATTTGAGTAAGCTTGGGTTTATTCTTCTTTCGCTTTCTTTTCCCGTGTGTATTTGGTGCTTTTTGTATTTTGGATGAATATGTCAGAAAGTGATGATAGTTTCAGGAATTATCATACAACAGCTAAGTTTTAACATCTTTAATATTGTATTTTTATTCCTTAATTTAAGTTTTGTATTTTCGTTTTCTTCTCTTGTGAAAGTAAACTGATTTTAAATTGCAAAGCGTGCATATTTCCCCATACCCACCAAAACACCGTGTAACAAAGCGCACTTGAGCAAAAAACGGTGGCACTGGGGAGTGAACCACGTAAATTTCACTCGGCAGGTAAGGGGTTAAAGCAAAAAATATCTTTACAAATACACTAATATTTAAGTAAAAATGTTAAATAGAAACATTATCTTCCGCCTTAAAATAGCTTTTATTTATTTCAAAACACATTAACCTATACAAGTTTTGTATCATTACAGTTATATGCTAAAATAAAGAAAGTTTATTGACTCTTGAACATTTTCTTTTTGTATATATTTGAACCCTTTAAGTCCCACTAATATTAATCTTTGTGAGTAAGTGTTCCACATTTTTTTTTATTCCTTTCAACTAGTTCATTCAACATTTTCCACTAGTTATATAACAAAGTACAGTGCAGAACCAGTTATCCGGAAATCAGAAAACCAGAAAACGAAATTCGATAAATTTTCCGACATTTTTAAAAAAATAACTTTTTTTCCTCATAAGATTTTAGGATTTTTCTTTCTTTTTTGAAAGATGTTTACCATACCATCATTTTAGAAATAATCATTACTGTATTACTTCATCGATTTTTCTTCTTTTTAAGATTATTTCCAAATATTTTTTTTTTTTAGTTGGGTTTAACAATAAAAAAAACGGCTTTTTGTAGCGATTCAGAAAACCGGAAAAATCAGTTATCCGGAATAGCGATGGTCCCGATCGTTCCGGATAATCGGTTCCCTACTGTACTAAATACCTAATTTTAATTAAAACTTCATATTGCATTGATCTTTCCATGAAATTTTGAAGTCCCAATGAGTTCTATTTTCACACAATCAATATTTTACAAATTGAATTAAGAATAGTTTTAACATATTTTATGTGGTTTTGCAACATCATTTTGAATAAGTTATGCATGATTTGCTTTCTTGACTTAGTTGTAATACTTTTTATGAGCACTAATTTTATTTTTTACTGATATGTATAGAAGAAGATGAGGCTTGACAACTGAACTTAAATAGTTGAAAAAAATAAAATAATGCTGGAAGTTTAAAGTTCCAAATTCAAACTTTTACAAAAAATTAGAAAATAATATTGAATATTAATATAATATTAATGAATATAATATTGAATAATAAAACATTTGCCAAAGTGAAAAATAGACATTACTTAATAGAGTAAAAACTTTTATACATTTTGATATTTTTATAATAATTTATTAATTAAAGAATTTATAAATGTAAAAAATACTATACCTAAAGAAAAAATAAAAATTAGAAAAAAGAATACCCCAGAAATTTTAAAAGAAATGCTCGTAAAGATAAAAAAAATTACTAAAATGGCAAATGTCATCAATATCAGCACATTACTAATAATAATATAAAACACATTATACAGTAGGGAACCGATTATCCGGAATGGTCGGGACCATCGCTTTCCGGATAACTGATTTTTCCGGTTTTCTGAATCGCTACAAAAAGTCGTTTTTTTTATTGTTAAACCCAACTAAAAAAAAAAAAATTGGAAATAATCTTAAAAATAAGAAAAAACGATGAAGTAATACACTAAAGATCATTTCCAAAATGATGGTAAGGTAAACATCGTTAAAAAAAGAAAGAAAAATCGTAAAATCTTATGAAGAAAAAAAAAATTTTTTTTTAAAATGGCGAGAAAATTTATAGAATTTTGTTCCGGTTTTTTGGTTTTCCGGTTTTCTGATTTCCGGATAACGGGTTCTGTACTGTAATATAAATACTATTAAAAAAACCATGTGACAGAATTTTTTCAGGCTAACTGCGACAAAACTCTCTAGCACTAATATCTTTCTGCAAGATACCTTTAATAAAGATAAACATATATGTTACTAATTTAAAATAACAAAAGCACTGTGGTTACAAAAATAAACTGTATGTATTTTTTATTCTGATATTATGAGTGACATTCTCGCATTTTGTTGGAAGGGGGACACACAAATTATTTCCTTTTTCGCATTTTGTAAACAATCATCACAACAAAAAAGGAATTGAAAATCATCAAATCCGCAATAGTAATTGTCGAAAAAAAGATCGACAGCAAAATCATGCAAATCGGACGCTTCATATGCATGTTTCATTTCGAGATTAGGTTGTTGTAATAAATAATATTGTATAAAAAATATCAGATTTAAAAACTATGGAGAAAACAATAGAAATAACTGCCAAAAATTCGATAGAATTATTGCCTTAAAAATTAAACACTCAAATGCACAATTCGAATTTTATATTTTGTTTGAAATATATCAGGATATTCAAAATCCACATAAAAATCAATATCAATAACTGCCGAAAATACAATCGAAATATTACATCGATTTATGATAATATCGGAGTAAATTGAAAGGGTCAAAAAGTGTTTATTTAAATGCATGGTTCAAATATTACATTCAATTTCTGCAAAAAAGAAAAGTAATTTTTTTAACTTTTCAATAGAAAAATCTTTCTGCAAGAACTCTGTAACCTTCTGTGACAATGTTGCTGGGATTCTGCTACAGGGTATAAGAACCAATTATTTTAACAGTCAGGGAGGGTTGGATGCTTCACATTTTTGAATTTCACAGCCTTAAGCATAGCAGAAACAAAATCAATTCACAGTTTTATGGTTACGGATTCGACTTTTATATAACATGGCCCTTAACTTTGAAGACCATACCCGAAAAATTGAATGCAGAAATAGTTATGCAAAAGCTGTACATTGTTCTAAAAATGTAATTTAGACTCAATATGAATATCTGAAATTAATCCCTTTCTCTCGAGGTGAGTAGTAATCTATCTAGAAATTAGGTGAGGGAGAGGGAAGAAAGCATACCCGACACATTTATTACGATATTATGACTCATAAGGTATAAATTGCACATTTAATTGATCACCTTTTGCTCTACTTAATTTGTGCTGATTGCATTGTGAATCCAAGTTGTTTTTCAATTAGTTTCTTTCACTCATGCAGATTTAAAAATTCTGATTTTTATTACAACATTAAATCTTGCATTTCAATGATTTACAGGAGCACTTACTCGTGCCGATTTCACAGCAAATTTAAAAAATATTTTTGAATTGTTATTGCAATTATTGTGATGCTTTTCCCTGTGATTTTTACGATCTTGTTACTTTAACTACGATGTTAATACCACATGTGAAAACTATGATGTTAACACAACACGTGAGTTTATAATCTTGAGTTTAAATAATCACTATTTGATAAAATTTATTTATGCATATTTCATTGTAAACACAATTTTTTTCGCCGTTTCGGTAGTTTGCACCATGCATTTGTGCGTAGTATTTAGAGTCCTGATATTTTAATATAGGGTGACCTGGGGTAATTCCTGATCAAAAAACGCAAACATCTATTTTGTGACAAAAACTATTCAAAATGGAATTTTAATATTTACTGGAAGTTTGAGGCTATATGAGATGAGTCCAATGCCACCTTCTTTTGTTTGAAAATCTAATTAGAATTTAAAAGATTTTAAATTTTTAGTGATCAGGAATTACCCCTGGTCTTGATCATTTCTGAGGTATTTCCTGATCACTTCTGGGGTAATTTCTGATCACAAGTTTTTATTGTAAAGGGGCTGTTAAAAAATAATTATATAATGTTAATTAACAAATAAGACATCAAGATCAAACAAATATGTCAAAAAGATATGTTTAAGCAGCTAATAAAACAATTTATTTAAAAGCAAGAAGAACGATTAACACTTTAAATTTTCAAAAATCTTTGCATCGTGCCATACATTTTAGGCAATCAGCCAACTCATTCTCATGTTCTTCTGAAATATAAGAGAGTTCCCACATGGGTTACTTTTGCTGGATTTTTTAACTTCATTAAGGGAAAGTGTAAAGTTAAGTAAGGTATGTCAACAGCTCTGGCAGCAGCTCTCACACTGAAATTTTCATTTTCAATCATTAAAAGAAATTCACTAATTTTGTTTTCTAGAAGCTTAGTATCCTTTTTAGGCTTATAATTTCTCACCATATTTATACTAGGCTAATTTATAAACTTAAAAATTATTCTAACGATGTACACACATAAAATTAAGATAGAAGCAAGGTAAGACAAACCAGAAATGGTGCAAATCAGAATACAGTCTTGTATACAGTTAAAAACAAATTTTGTGATGACAGTTAAAATATATTTTATAGTTGTTCCACTTAAT